TCAAAAGACACAGACTGGCAAATTGGATAAAAAACCAAAACCCATCGATGTGCTGTATCCAAGAAACCCATCTCACAGGCAAGGATACACAAAGGCTCAAAATAAAGGGATGGAGGGATTTACCAAGCAAATGGACAGCAAAAAAAAGCAGGAGTTGCAATTCTCATCTCTGATAAAATAGACTTTAAAGCAACAAAGACCAAAAGAGACAAAGAAGGTCATTACATAATGGTAAAAGGATCGATACAACAAGAAGAGCTAACAATCCTAAATATATATGGACCCAATACAGGAGCACCCAGATATATAAGGCAAGTTCTTAATGACTTACAAAGAGACTTAGACTCCCACACAATAATAGTGGGAGACTTTAACACTCCGCTGTCAATATTAGACAGATCAACCAGACAGAAAATTAACAAGGATATCCAGGGCTTGAACTCAGACCTGGAACAAGCAAACCTGATAGACATTTACAGAACTCTTCACCCCAAATCCACAGAATATACATTCTTTTCAGTGCCACATCACACCTACTCTAAAATTGACCACATAATTGGAAGTAAAGCACTCCTCAGCAAATGCAAAACAACTGAAATCATAACAAACAGTCTCTCAGACCATAGTGCAATCAAACTAGAACTCAGAATTCAGAAACTAACTCAGAACTGCACAGCTTCATGGAAACTGAACAACTGGCTCTTGAATGTTGACTGGATAAACAATGAAATGAAGGCAGAAATAAAGAAGTTCTTCAAAACCAATGAGAACAAAGACACAACATACCAGAATCTCTGGGACACATTTAAAGCAGTCTCCAGAGGAAAATATATAGCAATAAGTGACCATATGAGAAGAGTGGAGAGATCCAAAATTGACACCCTATCGTCAAAATTGAAAGAGCTAGAGGAGCAAGGTCAAAAAAACTCAAAACCTAGCAGAAGACAAGAAATAACTAAGATTAGAGCAGAACTGAAGGAGATAGAGACACGAAAAACCCTTCAAAAAATCAATAAATCCAAGAGCTGGTTTTTTGAAAAGATCAACAAAATAGACCACTAGCCAGACTGATAAAAAAGAAAAGAGAGAACAACCAAATAGATGCAATAAAAAATGATAAAGGGGAAATCACCACAGATTCCACAGAAATTCAAACCATCATCAGAGAATATTACAAACAACTCTATGCGCATAAACTAGTAAACCTGGAAAAAATGGATAAATTCCTGGACACTTGTGTCCTCCCAAGCCTAAACCAGGAGGAAGCCGAAACTATGAATAGACCAATAACAAGGTCTGAAGTCGAGGCAGCAGTTAAGAGCCTACCACTCAAAAAAAGCCCAGGTTCAGATGGGTTCACAGCCGAATTCTACCAGACACACAAAGAGGAGCTAGTACCATTCCTAATGAAACTATTCCAAATAATCCAAAAAGAGGGAATCCTTCCCAAATCATTTTATGAGACCAATATCATCCTGATACCAAAACCCGGCAGAGACCCAACAGAAAAGAATACTTCAGGCCAATATCCATGATGAACCTAGATGCAAAAATCTTAAATAAAATACTGGCAAACCGATTGCAACAGCAAATCAAAAAACTTATCCATCATGATCAAGTAGGATTCATCCCGGGGATGCAAGCCTGGTTCAACATATGCAAGTCTATAAACGTAATTCACCACATAAACAGAACCAAAAACAAAAACCACATGATTATCTCAATTGGCGCAGAGAAGGCATTTGACAAAATTCAACAGCCCTTTATGCTAAAAACCCTCAATAAACTCGGTATTGATGGAATGTATCTCAAAGTAATAAAAGCTATTTATGACAAACCAACAGCCAATATCATACTGAATGGGCAAAAACTGGAAGCATTCCCTTTGAAATCTGGCACTAGACAAGGATGCCCTCTTTCACCACTCCTATTCAATATAGTGCTGGAAGTTCTAGCCAGAGCAATCAGGCAATAAAAAGAAATAAACAGTATTAAAATAGGAAAGGTGGAAGCCAAATTGTCTCTATTTGCAGACGACATGATAGTATACCTCAAAGACCCCATCGTCTCAGCCCAAAAACTCCTGAAACTGATAAGCAACTTCAGCAAAGTCTCAGGATATAAAATCAATGTGCAAAAATCACAAGCATTCCTCTACACCAATAACAGACTTAAAGAGAGCCAAATCAAGGACAAACTGCCATTCACAATTGCTACAAAAAGAATAAAATACCTAGGAATACAACTTACAAGGAACGTAAGGGACCTCTTCAAGGAAAACTACAAACCACGGCTCAACAAAATAAGAGAGGACACAAAGAGATGGAGAAACATTCAATGTTCATGGTTAGGAAGAATCAATATCGTGAAAATGGCTATACTGCCCAAAGTAATTTACAGAATCAACGCTATCCCCATCAAGCTACCAATAACCTTCTTCACAGAACTGGAAAAAACCACCATGAACTTCATATGGAACCAAAAGAGAGCCTGCATAGCCAAGTCAATTCTAAGCAAAAAGAACACAGCGGGAGGCATCACACTACCGGGCATCAAACTATACTACAAGGCTACAGTCAAAACAGCATGGTACTGATACCAAAACAGAGATATAGACCAATGGAACAGAACAGAGGCATCAGAGGCAACACAGCATATCTACAACCATACAGTCTTTGATAAACCTGACAAAAACAAACAATGGGGAAAGGATTCCCTGTTAAATAAATGGTGTTGGGAAAACTGGCTAGCCATGTGCAGAAAGCAGAAACTGGACCCCTTTTTGACACCTTACACTAAAATTAACTCCAGATGGATTAAAGACTTACACATAAGACCTGGCACCATAAAAACCCTAGAAGAAAATCTAGGCAAAACCATTCAGGACATAGGAGTAGGCAAGGACTTCATGACCAAAACACCAAAAGCATTGGCAACAAAAGCCAAAATAGACAAATGGGACCTAATCAAACTCCACAGCTTCTGCATGGCAAAAGAAACAGTCACTAGAGTGAATCGGCAACCAACAGAATGGGAAAAAATGTTTGCAGTTTACCCATCACACAAAGGGCTGGTATCCAGAATTTACAAAGAACTCAAACAGATTTACAGGAAAAAAACAAATAAGCCCATTCAAAAATGGGCAAAGGATATGAACAGACACTTTACAAAAGAAGACATACATGAGGCCAACAAACATATGAAAAAATGCTCATCATTACTGGTCATTAGAGAGATGCAAATCAAAACCACATTGAGATACCATCTCATGCCAGTTAGAATGGCGATCATTAAAAAACCTGGGGACAACAGATGCTGGAGAGGATGTGGAGAAATAGGAACACTTTTACACTGCTGGTGGGAGTGTAAATTAGTTCAACCATTGTGGAAGAAAGTGTGGCGATTCCTCAAGGTCTTAGAAATAGAAATTCCATTTGACCCAGCAATCCCATTACTGGGTATATATCCAAAGGACTATAAATCTTTCTACTATAAGGACACATGCACACGAATGTTCATTGCAGCACTGTTTACAACAGCAAAGACCTGGAACCAACCCATATGCCCATCGATGATAGACTGGACTGGGAAAATGTGGCACATATACACCATGGAATATTCTGCAGCAATCAGAAATGATGAGTTCGTGTCCTTTGTAGAGACATGGATGAATCTGGAGAACATCATACTCAGCAAACTGACACAAGAGCAGAAAATGAAATACGGCATATTCTCACTCATAGGCAGGTGATGAAAAATGAGAACACATGGACCCAGGGAGGGGAGTACTACACACTGGGGTCTATTGGGGGGAATAGGGGAGGGACAGTGGGGTGGGGGAGCTGGGGAGGGATAGCCTGGGGAGAAATGCCAAATGTGGGTGAAGGGGAGGAAGGCAGCAGAACACACTGCCATGTGTGTACCTATGCAACTATCTTGCATGTTCTGCACATGTACCCCAAAACCTGAAATGCAATAAAAATAAAAATAAAAAAAGATAGAAAGGAACAAGGGTCCTACTTGAGAGTGGAGGGTGAAAGGAGGGTGAGAATTAAAAATCTACCTATTGAAAAAAAAAAAAAAAGAAAGAAAAATGTGAAGAATTGAGTAACTGTGAAGTTTGTGGAAAAGAGAAGCCCTAAAGAGCAGAGATCCCTGTGAAGGGTCAAGGGAAGATTTCTTTAAAATGAGAGACAATTGAGCAAGGGTGGAAAGATGGTGCCTGTTTTAATCAGCCGGTGGGCAGAGCTGCAGGACCTGGTAAGATTCTGTGCTATTCAGACCTAGTTTTCTTTGTGAAATAGAAAGCCAGTCACCTGGTAAGAGAGCAGCAGGGAAGAGGGTGAGGTTGGGGTGTTTTAGGAAAGCAATACAGGCTGAAAAGAGCCTAAACAAGTGGTCATACCTTCCAACCAATAATATCAGTTTTTAAATTGATCATAAGAAAATAATTTGAAAGGCAATAAAAATTTATAAACTAGATATTTGTTTGTAGGATGATCTACAATAATTGGAAACAAGTGAGAAAACAAATTAAAATGCTTATCAACAAGAGAATAGTTTAAAAGTATGCTATAGAATTCAGTTAAGATAAAATGATGTTTTAGACTCATTACTTAAGGTCAGATACTTATGACATAATAGTAAGTATAAAATACTTGCATAAAATACTTACAATATAACAGTATTAAAATCAGAATTTAGAAGTTTATATAAGGTATATATGGAGTGACTAGAAGAAAATAAAGCAAAATATTAATAGAGATTTTTCTTCTTCTTAAGAGGTAGTACTATGGACCATTGTTATTTTCTTCTGTTTTAAAAACTTTTTTGGCGTTAAAAAAACAATGGATATATTTACTTTAAATATAGGAATAATAACTTTAAAGTCTTAAAATTTTAACCAAGATAATTATTAAAAGCAAGCAATTGCATGTTTCCTAATGCTAATATTTTAAGTGGTCATATTTAATGTCCAAATTTCACTTTGTCTTTTCCAGGTCATCCAGAAATTTATCCTTTAGTGTTAACTACCAAGACCCAGGAAATATTTAACTGCCGAATAGATGAAGATGTCACAGATGAACAACCTTATAAGCTTATTAATAAAGAAGATATTTTTGAGGACCTGCGCAACAGAGCTGCAGTATCTGATTTCCATCCAGTCAAAAAAATTGTCCAGGTAAGCACAATATCCCTCTTTATTTTCAGTTCTACCTCAAGAAGTTCCTGGTATATAACAACAAAGTTGGACAGGTTGTTGGTTCAAATCTGGCCCCATTGCTTTGGGCCAGTGCTACCTTGCCCATCCCTTTTGGGAATCCTGTCTGCCAATCATCTGTGAAAAGCAGAGTTCCATCAATAACTTGTTAGATAAACCCAGAAAAGTTCATCCTTGCCCAATTTTTATTTTGTTTTTTTTGAGACAGGGTTTCACTTTTGTTGCCCAGGCTGGAGTACAGTGACACAATCATGGCTCACTGCATCCACCACCTCCCAGGTTCAAGCGATCCTCCCATCTCAGCCTCCTGAGTAACTGGGACCACAGGTGCAGGCCACCATGCCCAACTAATTTTTGTTTTTGTAGAGACAGTTTTACCATGTTGCCCAGGCTGAGCTCAAACAATCCACTAGCCTTGGTCTTCCAAAGTGCTGGGATTGCAGGCATGAGCCACCATGCTCTGCCCTTGCCCAGTTTTAACTAGAATATGAATCTATCCTTATTTTTTGCTTTAATTGTTTAATTCATAATTTTGGCTCTGATTTATCTCTAAGCATGCTCCAGAGCACAATACCAAACAAAAACTGCTTCTTTTTTCCTGTTAGAAGTAAAAGTGCATGTAAATTTCCCTGGATGTATTATGTTTTTAAGAGCTTTTTAAAGTTAATAAAATAATTTTGCAATTTGGTGTTATCAGCCATAAATTAGCACAATGGTTGTCTTCTATGATTGGTTGTTTACAGACATAGGAATTTTGTATTAGTGTCAAAAAAAACTGAATGACCATTGAACATTAACTTCGTCTCTTAATTATATTCTTGCAGGAATATCCTGGAAATGAGCTTCTGCTTGTTTATGACAAAGACTTCAAATATGGACTTAACTTTTATCTTATTGGAACTGAAGAGGGCAAAGAAAACTATTTAAATGTGAGCAAACCCCAAGCCCTTGTAATTTGTTTGTTTTTGTTTTGGTTGTTGTGGTTGTTTTTGAGATAGGCTCTTGCTCTGTCACCCATGCTGGAGTGCAGTGGCACAATTGTTGTCACTGCAACGTCAACCTCCCAGGCCCAAGTGATCCTCCCACCTCAGCCCCTCAAGTAGCTGGGACTACAGGGGCGCACCACCATGTCCAGCTAATTTTGTTTATTTTTTGTGGAGATGAGGTCTCATTCTGTTGCCCAGGCTGGGCAATTTGTTGATTAGCAGAAGGAAGCGGTACCTCTGGGGGATCCCTATATATAGTGACGATTATTCTTGTTCAGCTCTGATTCCGTGGGACCCAGATCAGGTTCTGGCCCCTAGAATAAGTAAGCAGTAAATAGGGGATGAACTAAATCAAGTATCTCAGGGTAGCAGATTTGCCCTTCATTGACCTAGTGAGAGAGCAAACAATGAATCTGGAGTACTGCTTTTCTAGTTCTCTTCTTGCCACCTCCATGATTTTGAGTAAGTTACTGAGCCTCTCATGGGTAAAATGGTGGCACCTATAGCACACATTTCCATGGCTTTCATGAGGATTCATATAGGTAAAGCCCTTTGTTGAAGGTGGGCAAGAAAGGTAACAATTGTATGAGACTCTCCTTCTGATCTTCCATCCCTGTTTGATCAAATTGAAGGAGCTGATTTGGGAGGTTTGGTTAAATTGTTTGAGGATAACAGAGAGGTTTGTGTGGCTGTCCAATAAGTAATAAGAATAAAGGGAAACCATAGAATTAAAAAATATCTAGGCTGGGCACAGTGACTCATGCCTGTAATCCCAGTACTTTGGGAGGCTTGAGGCAGGGTTACTTGAGGCCAGGAGTTCCAGACCAGCCTGGGCAACAGAACAATTCCCTGCCACTGCAAAAAATAAAAATATTAGCCAGACATGATAGCATGTGCCTGTAGTCCCAGCTACTTGGGACAGAGATGGGTAGATCACTTGGGCCAGAAAGGTGGAGGTTGCAGTGAGCCCTGATCATGCTACTGTACTCCAGAGTGAGACCCTGTCTCAAAAAGAAAAGAAAATAATAAAAGCTAACAGTTTGCAATTTAAAATAATCTTTCATTTAGCCTTAACGTTTTCAATTTTATTTTTATGGTTGCTTTTCTAACTTTTTATTGTAATGAAATATTTAAAATATATAGAAAAAAGTAGAGTAGTATAACAAATATCTATACTTCATTATCCAGATTTTAAAAATATTAAATTTTGTTATAAATACTTTAAGACTTTTTTTTTTTGAGATGGAGTTTCGCTCGTGTTGCCCATGCTGGAGTTCAGTGGTGTGGTCTCAGCTCGCCGCAACCTCTGGCTCCTGGGTTCAAGTGATTCTCCTGCCTCAGCCTCCTGAGTAGCTGGGATCACAGGCATGCATCACCATGCCTGGCTAATTTTGTATTTTTAGTAGAGACGGGGTTTCTCCATGTTAGTCAGGTTGGTCTTGAACTCCCAACCTCAGGTGATCCACCCACCTCGGCCTCCCAAAGTGCTGGGATTACAGGCATGAGCCCCCACACCCAGCCACTTTAAAACTTTTTTTAAAAAAAGAAATAAACATTACAGACAACATTCCACTCCTTCTCGTGTCCTCCCTAATTCAGCTTTCTTTACTCCTACCTATAAGGAACCATTATTCTAAACTGTTACATATTGTTAAATGTTTACCATGTGCTCCACAAATAATGGAATTTATAGTCTTATTAACATAACATTCATATAGAAATTATGTCATTTTTATACTCAGTCTGCAACTTCATTTTTCATTAAATTATAAAATTCTAGGATCTAAAAATATCAGTACATTTAGATACCATATATATGTAGATCAAATTTGTTCATTATAACTGCTCTATGGGATTGTATTTTATGATTTTACCACACTGTCATCAATCCATTCCTCTATCAATATTCATTTGTTGATTTTTTTTTACTACTACAAATAAAGTAGCTCTGTGTGTACACACACACACACACACACACACACACCTCTATCTATATGTGGACATCTAATATATAAATCTTCCTGTCTACTGTCTTTCTTCTTTCTATATTCTTGACTCTTTTTTCTTTTTCCTTTTTTTGCTTTGTTTCCTTTTTATAATTCAAAAGTGTGAATTGACAAGAAAAAAGTAAGAAAGAGCTTTCATGTAAAAGTAAAGTTTGTCACAAAATATATACATATAGCTATAACTCAAATTTGGGCATATATTATAGAATGCTATTTATTTTACTGTAGCCCCCAGAAGTGCCAGAAGAACAAGAGGTATATAAAGAACATATTCCTGAAGATGTGTATGTTTATGAACCACCTGTCTCTAAACCATGGGTTTCTTTGGGCAGCGAAAAAGAAATTGAGGAAGAATCGGTTATGGAATCTACAAAGCAGGTTAGAGAGTTAAATATGATCTCTAATCATTACCTCCCTGTAGTGGAACAACATTTATTCCTGAAGGATTCATAAAATTTACTGTATTTGCTATGGGGGCATAGTTTTGGTGTTTTGTTTTGGTTTGCTTTTATAGAAGAATGGTCATTGTCTCCCTCCCCCTCCCAAGCTAGCTGAGATTTTATTTTGGACCAAAAAAAAAAAAAAAAAAAGGCAATTCAATTGTTTTGCAGCTGGAGGCATGGGCAAGAGGGATCCCCAGGCAGTAAACTCCCCATGGGTGGGCTGAGGGCTAGGGCTGAGCCTCGGGTGGGTCTCCTATTCCCTGTGCTCTCCTGTACAGGGGCCTCCCTCCCAGGCTCTGGGGCAGCCTTAGGAGGGGCAGGCTGGGAGGGGCTGTTGCAGCTGTTCACTTGGGCAGGACGTCAGAGGACTCGGACACCAGCCTTCCATAGCAAGTCTCAATCTTCTTCACAACCATGGCCTTGGTGGAGCTGGTGCAGCTGAAGGAGCTGGGGCTCGTGCCAGAGCCAAAGCTGGAGCACAGGCTGTAGCTGAGGCCGGGGCTTGTGAAACTCCTATAAGCAGAGCTCTGACCACCTGCATAGCCGGTGGTGGTCTTCATATGGATACTCATGTTCTGCATCCCGGACTCCAGCCAGCTCTCCTCACCCTCCAGTAGCTTGCGGTACATGGTAATCTCGATGTCCAGGGCCAGTTTGATGTTCATCAGCTCCTGGTACTCACGGAGCTGCCGTGGTATGTCCTGCTTGGCCCCACTGCAGGGCGGTCTCCAGCTCCTGCTGCTTGGCATGAGCATCCTTGAGTGCCAGCTCCCCACGATGCTCAGCCTCAGCAATAGCAGTCTCCAGGGAAGCCCTCTGGCCTGTGAGGCCCTCGATCTCAGCCTGGAGCTGGCTGATGTTCCGGTTCATCTTGGAGATCTCAGTCTTCATAGCAGCAGGTCATCCCCGTGCTTCCCAGCCAGCGTCCGCAGCTCCTCATACTTGATCTGGTATACGCTCTCCGCCTCAGCCCAGCTGCGGTTGGCGATCTCCTCATACTGCGCCTTGACCTCAGCGATGATGCTGTCCATGCCCAGGGAGAGGCTGTTGTCCATGGACAGCACCACAAACGTGTCGGAGATCTGGGATCTCTTCATACAGCTGCCTGAGGAAGTTGATCTCTTCAGTCAGTCCTTCCAGGCACAACTCCAGCTCTACCTTGTTCATGTAAGTTTCATCCACATCCTTGATGAGGACAAATTCATTCTCCATCTCTGTACGCTTATTGATCTCATCCTCATACTTGTTCTTGAAGTCTCCCACCAGCCCCTTCATGTTGCCAAGCTCCGCCTCCAGCTTCAGCTTCTCCTGGCCCAGAGTCTCCAGCTGCCGCCTCAGGTTGTTGATGTAACCCTTAAACATGTTGTCCATGTTGCCCCTAGCTGTTTTCTGCTGATCAAGAAGGCTCCACTGGGTCTCCAGCATCTTGTTCTGCTGCTCCAGGAACCGCACTTTGTCAATGAAGGAAGCAAACTTGTTGAGGGTCTTGATCTGCTCCTTCTCCTGAGTACGCATGGCCTGGATGTTGGGGTCCACTTCCAGCTTAAGGGGGCTCAGCAGGCTCCGGTTGACGGTGACAGCGGTGATGCCTCCCATGCCCATGCTGCTGGCCCCAGCATAGCCTGCACCCAGGCCACCTTGGAAGCTGCTGCTGCCCACTCGGAGAAGCTCGAGGAGCTGATGCGGGCACCAGGCCCACTCATGTAGGAGTTGCTGCTGAAGGCCCAGGGACCAGAGGTGGATACCTTGTAGGATTTATGGGTCATCCTGATGGACATGGTGGAGGCAGGAGTTGAGGCAGGCGGGCTGAACCAGGGAGAGATTCCAGAAGGAGCGGAGAAGCTGCTTCTTCAGTCATTGTCTTAAGTGGGTGTTATGAGCTGAATTTTGTCTCCAAAAAATGATATGTTGAAGTTCTAACCCCCAGCACCTCAGAATGTGATTCTATCTGGGAATAGGGTCATTGCCGGTATAACTATTTAAGATGAGGTCATCCTGGAGTAGGGTGGGCCCGTAATCCAATACAACTGGTATCCTTGTGATAAGTTGGTCATGGGAAGACAGAGAGACAGAGAGACACAGGGAGAATACCATGTAAAGAAGCAGACAGAGACTGGAAAGATGGATATACAAACCAAGGAACACTGAGGATTGCTGATTGTTACCAGAAGCCAGGAAAGAAACAGGGAACAGATTCTCCCTCAGAGCCTTCAGAAAGAAACAACCCTCAAACACCTCAGTTTCAAACTTCTAGGCTCCACAACTGTAAGAGAGTAAGTTCCTATTGTTTTAGGCCACCCCATTTGTGATACTTGGTTATGGCGGCTGTAGGAAGCTGATACGGTGGCATTCCCTCCCAAAGGAACTACTGGGAGAGGGAATTGTGTGTGAGTGGTTTATTAGGAAAGTGCCCCTGAAGAGAATATGACAAGCAGCTGAACATGGACATGGAGGAAGCCCTGCCAGGCTGCACTCTCAGCCTAAAGTCTGGCAGAGGGAAGGCCTCAGCCAAACCTGGAGAGGAACTCTGGAGTATAAATTATACCTCAGAGTTGTCCCAAACAGAAGCCAAGGAGAAGGGTTTATGTATCCCTCCTGCCAGTCCACCATTAGTCAAGATGAAACTGCCAGTTACTTCCTGTTCTTTGCACCTGGGGCAAAGTGGTCCCAATAGCCCTAGAGCAGCCCTCCAAAGAAGAGGAGCGGGTGCTGCTTATGTGAATGGAAAGCACACAGAGCTGGAGGTGCTCACAGAAAGAGCACAAAGGGTTCTGAGAGGATCTGGGCAGAGGACCAACGTTGTTCACACATCCATTTTTCTCCAGGGGCTTCAATATGTTACCTTTACTGTTTACATGTGTTACAGATTACATATATGATTTCTCAAAAACGAAGTGAATTTGGTGCACCAGTTAAGTTCAGTGACCAGAATGCTTCCAGTGTAAAAGATGCCTATATTGAATGTACAGCCTACCCAGATAAAAATTTTACCCTTAAACAACTTGAGAAAGAAGTCGGCATGCAAGCAATCCCTCAAATAAAAGACATCAGCACTCAGACAGAATGGTAAGTATGTGATGGGTGTATGTAATTTTAGAGCCAATTTCAGTCAAATCTAGTAACTTCCATGATTCTTTTGAGAGCTTTATAATAATTAGAAGTGGATTAACAATGATGACACATAGATCTCCACAGAGTAATTTAATTCAGGAAGATCTAATTATATTCAATAATGCCTTTAAAAATCATAAGAGGAAAATGCGATACATGTATAGAAGACTGAAAAGACTAGGGTGGGAAAATGAGTGATGCCGTTAATCATTACAGTGTGGTCATCTCACCTAGCATATTACCACTGCCTCTCACTGCTCTGTTCTACCACCTAAGTCATAATTCTTTTTTTTTTTTAATTGCATTTTAGGTTTTGGGGTACATGTGCAGAACATGCAAGATAGTTGCATAGGTACACACATGGAAGTGTGTTTTGCTGCCATCCTCCCTTTCACCCATATTTGGCATTTCTCCCCATGCTATCCCTCCCCAGCTCCCCCCCACCACTGTCCCTCCCCTATTCCCCCCCATAGATCCCAGAGTGTAGTCCTCCCTTCCCTGTGTCCATGTGTTCTCATTGTTCATCACCCGCCTATGAGTGAGAATATGCGGTATATCATTTTCTGTTCTTGTGTCAGTTTGTTGAGAATGATGTTCTCCAGATTCATCCATGTCCCTACAAAGGACACGAACTCATCATTTTTGATTGCTGCATAATATTCCATGGTGTATATGTGCCACATTTTTCCCAGTCCAGTCTATCATCGATGGGCATAAGTCATAATTCTTAAACATCAAATCAGATGGAGTTAATTCATTGTCTAGGTTTCTTCTTTGGCTTCCATCACTTAAAAAATACATGCATCCAGAGCCCTTAGGATGGCATATGAGGTTCTCCTTCCTCTGTGACGAGGCACTGTCTGCCTCTCCAGCCCTGTCGTCCCTTGTTCCTAAACAAGACCTCTGTGTGCCAGCCCTATGAACTGCTTCCAGTTCCCAGAATATCTGTGGTTCCACCTCTTTCTGCCTTTGCCCATGCTTGAATCTTCCTCCTCTCAGTAAGTGGTAATGATATTCTTCTATTTACTCAGACCAAAAGCCTTGGATTTTGTTGGATCTATCTTCAAAATGTGCCCGCTGATATTACCTTAGACCATTCATCATCATCTTCTGCTTGGATTACTGTAATTCCTTTAACTGGGCTTCCTCTATCCGTCTTTTCTCTCCTGCATTCAGTTCTCCATAGAGTAGCCCTAGTAATCCTGTTAAAATGCAAGTCAGATCATGTCACTGACCTAAACCTTCCAATGGCCTGTCATCCCAAAGGAACCTACAAGGCTTCATATGATCTAGATCCCTTTACCTTTCTGCCCTAATTTCCCAAGTTCTCCCAGCTCATCCATCCAGCCACACTGGCTTCCTCATTCCTTGATTCACCAAGCACACTCATACCTAATGTGTTTAAGCTTACAAGTCCTTTACATAGAATGCTCTTCCCTTGGGTTTATTCCCTCCCTAATTCAGACCTCTGCTTAAATGAGGCATTCCCTGACACTCCTATATAAAAGCAACAACTCCATTACTATCTACCCCCTTACTCTGTTTTTACCCATTGTGTTATAATCACCTGATGTGTATTTTTTATCATCTTTCTTCTCCTCACTCTGCACTTGAAATTTAAGCTCTATGAGATAGAAACTTTTTATATTTTGTTTACTGCTATGTTCCCAACTCCTAGAACAGTTCCTGGTATATATTTATTAAATGGAGGGGAAAAGGAATGGAGGAGGGAAAAGAGGAAGAGAAGGACATATGTAAGGAAGAATGCACAGAATGATGACAGATTTGAATCCAGTGTTAATGTGAAAATACACAGTGAGACAGGTCATAACCAGGAGAATCAGGGATCAACAATATAGAGAATGCTTTTCAGATCTGTATGAACCAACAGGTTAAAAACTATGGAAGTGAAATGTTAAAGTAAGGGCACATATATACAGACTCCAAAGGTTGGGCCAAGAAAGGGGTCAGAAACAAGAGATGCAGATGAACAGACAGGCCAAAACAAGAGGAGATAAAGAGAAACACGAGAATTGGTAGTCAAATACTGGCAGGGAAGGAGGACATCAGATATCCATAAATATCAAGAAGTGAGGGCAAGAGAGGAAGGAGAGAGGTGACATATTAGTACCAGAGGAACTTGAATTTTGAGACAAATATCTAAGTCAAGCCAGCCAGGGATTTATTCTGTGTTCCTTCTAGGGTACAGACAAGTCCCAAGAATGAGTCAGCCAGCGTAGACTCAGTAGGTAGACTCAGAATACAGACCAACAATAATAATAGTGGCTGTGTTCTTACACGGGAGTAAACAGATGAGAATACAGGCAGGTCTTGATGGACAAAATGAAAAAAAATTTTTAAAAAAGACTTAAAAGGAACTCAAATCATTTAAACCTAGATGACTAGGGGAAGCTGGTACCATGCACTACAAACAGGAAATTAGGAAGGGTGGCTGGTATGAGGTAGAGAAGGTGGATATGTGATTATATTGGAGGGAATCAAGAAAAATCAAAGATGTGGTTCAAAGAATAATGACGGTAAAAGCAAATGCCTAGTGTTCCCCCCACATACCAGGCATTCTTCTCAGTGCTTTACACATATCAACTCAATCCTCATAACTGCTTTCTGAGGTAGGCACTATCCCCATTTTACAAATAGAGAAACTGAGGCAAAGAGCGGTTAAATATGAAAGCCCAATGTTTTGGGCATAATTTAAACCTGAAGCAATAATGAATAGTTTTGCTGAAAAACAACAAAACAAATTATATTTAGAAAGTAAGAGTGACTCTTAGTCATATTGCTACTTTGACAAAACCACCAAGCAACATACCATTTTTTAAAATTTAACCCTATCTCAAGACTAGAAATTAAAAGGTAAAGCTGAGATTTGAACCCAAGTCTCTCCGGTTCCAATACTAATAATATTCTTTCTTTCTACCACTCTACCTTCTGCTATGGGTACTGACCTAAACAAGGAAAAAAATGAATTATTCTAGTAATTATACTCAAAACTCTCTTTACCCCTTTGTCTGATTACTCTCCATTTAATATATTACCTCTCACAGAGACATTTGTTCAACAAACACAAACTATATAATATTTTGTTGAGCACTTAAAATGTGCTAGGCACTGTTTTTAAAGTTTTGCATGTATCAACACATCCAATTCTTACAATGACCCTATGGGCTAGCTACTTTAATAATTTCATTTAGAGATGAGAAAACAGGCACAGAAGATTAGATAATTAGCTCAGGGTCACATAGCTAGTAAATGATAGAACCAGGCTTCAAAGCCAGGCAGCCAATCACCAGAGTCCACACTCTTAACGATTGTGCCATGTGACTTCCAAGCCTCATAGCTAAGAACAAGAGCCCACCCCATCGAGTACATGAGACTGATAATAAAGCCCAGAGGTACAATGCTGTATGGCATTACACAGACAGAAGCCACTAAGAGCATACTAAAATGGCGCAAGTCTTCCTGCCACCATCACTGCTGAAATGTCTTATTCCTACTTTTGTAAGTAGAGCAGAGTTTCCAACCTCAACACAATTGACATTTGGGGCTGGATAATTCTCTTTGAGGGAAGGCTGTCTTGTGCTTTGTAGGGTGTTTAAGAGCATCCCTGGGCTCTACCCACTAGATAACAGTAGCACATCTAGGTTGTGACAACCAAAAACATTTCTAGATATTGCCAAATGTCCCACGAGGACGTGAGGTGCACACTGACTTAATGAAATGAAGACAGAGCAAACGATAAAGCTGGCAAAATGTTCATAATTGATGAATCAGGGTGAAAGGTGTATGGGAATTCCTTATATCCTTCTTACAACTTTTCCAGATGTTTGAAATGTTTTTTAAGTAAACATTTTACAAAAATAAGATCTTTTTGATTATGTTGGAAAGAAATTTATGTAGACTTTGAATGGTGGTCAATATCAGTTGTCAAGGATAAAGAAAAAATTCAATGTATAGAATTTAAATATAAAATAACATTCTAACTTATTGTCACAGAGACATACTTTTGAACTTTCATGACCCATATGTGCTTTCCTTTTACCTAATCTTTGATATTGAATTTTCTTTTAATATACTAGGACATATCCCAAAAATGCTACCACGCAATATTATCCAAGAGAATTCTCAGAAGAAGAAAAAGAGACCCTCAAACAATCAAAGCCTTTGGTTGATTTTCTTAACAATGCATCCATAAGGTAAAAAATTGCATATTAAATTTTAAAAATAAAACATAAAGTGTCTATGTTTACATAGAATAACAGGTCTAAATAAACAATTCCATGTATGGTATCTAGATAAGAAGTATGAAGACAGTTGTCAGGTATGACATATTCTACAGATTCTCAAGATTTCTTTCCTTTCTATTGCTAAGCAACATCTTAGCCCTCCCAAGCTAAGGTTCACATCAAACAGTGGGAACAGTTGAGTGTGTGAGGATGTTTTCCTAATTGCAAATTAACAATTACTTGTATTTACCATGGTTACTTTTATGTAAGTCTTCTTCTCCAGTCCTCACTCCTCTTCTTCATTAACTTTTTTTTTTTTTTTTTTTGAGACGGAGTCTTGCTCTGTCACCTAGGCTGGAGTACTGTGGCACGATCTTGGCTCACTGCAACCTCTGCCTCCTGGGTTCAAGCAATTCTCCTGCCTCAGCCACCCAAGCAGCTGGGACTACAGGCACATACCACCATGCCTAGCTAATTTTTTGTATTTTTAGTAGAGACAGGTTTCACTATATTGGCCAGGCTGGTCTTGAACTCCTGACCTCGGGCAGTCCACTCACCTTGTCCTCCCAAAGTGCTGGGTGTAAGCAACTGCACTGGGCCCTTCACTAACTTTTATAGGATGAGGAGAATACTGTGGATGTCATTATAATAAGAATTTGCAAAAATATCTTTGTAGATGAGAACCTGAATTTAATTCAAGTGTCTTTTTGGACATTTCACTCTTATCGCCAATTCCTGTGTTCCTGAACTCTTACTGGCTTTGAAAGAGAAGCATCTTCAAAATGCCCCCTAAGCTACTACTAGGATCCTGAGTAGAGTTCTGGGGCTTCTAAACCAGAGAAACAGCTTGACAAATTCTCATCAAGCTAATACTAGAGTTTAGAGATGTGGATCCAATGGAGGACATGTCTGCCAGTTATACTCAATAGGCTGGTTTCCATTTCTTTCCAAAATTAACAATGTGGTAGTCAACTTCACATATAGCCCAAGTTAAGCTTTTTATTTTTAAGAAATGTCATTGGTTCTTTCAGACTGGATTAGATATCCTGAAAATTCAAACAACTTTCAAAGCTGTTACCTATACCTAGAGAGACTCTGGCTCAAAAATTCAATTAATGATTCAGAGAGAACATTATTTGCCACTCACTCACAGGAAGCATGCCATAATTTTTCCTATATGGGCAATGAGATAGAAACATGAAAACCTGAGTTTTCCCCCCATATCAAAATTAAGTAGTCATTACAATTTTTCCTATAGGAATATTAAAAATAAGAAGTTTGTTTACATATAATCAATATCAAGAGAAAACTAGATCTTGAGGAAATAAAAAGAATTGCTCAAAACAACATTGTATATTAGCTTTAGACCTGGGCTTTTATTCTTCCCTCTCAATTGCCATGCTTATAAAGAAAAGAATAGTGGACAGCTTTATAATTCCCTTCTTGAGATGTGGGAAGGAGAAGCCAGATCTATAAGAAGAAAGAGGAAAATTGGCACAGGAATTATAATAGCATTGGCCAAGAGTAAATAAGAAACCCTTGTTTATATCACTGCAAACTAATTTCCAGCTTTAAAACTGCTTAAGGTTTATTCAAAAGTTTTTAAGTAGTATAAACATGATTTTGTTCTGGAAGAAAGCCCTTTTAGAAATGAGCAATTTCTTTCTCATAGAATTTTATCTAAAACAAACTTAAAGGAAGTATTATTTGCTAAAAAAAAAAAGGCAATGACATCAGATGAGAGAGTGGAACTTTAGGGGGATTCACAAACAACTAAGAAAGTTTCCTTTTGGGGTTAAAATTCCTCAACCACAGTTTTGCCAACCTCCAGTTCATTAGTCTCAGGAGCCACATGGTTCCAGGAAAGCAAGTAACCAGAAACCAGAAGAAAGGTGCTGTCTTTAATTCTTCCTTGTGAATTACTTCTCCATGCTGGCTGAGGAGGAAAAATCAGGAAACCAAAGAAAAAGTCACATCTTTAATTTATCTCCTGAGAATTCCTTTCTCATTTGGGCTTCATCAGAAAGAAATATGATTTGGAAAATGCTTATTAATGCTTCTACTGGCAACTGTGTTTAAGCCTTGACAGTCCTCTACACAGGGTTATTCAGTGGTCACTGTGCTTATGAATCACCTGAGGACTCTTGTTAAAATGCAGGTTCTGACTCAGTAAGTCTGGGGTGGATCCTGTGACTCTGCATTTCTAACAGCCCCAGGTCATGTTGATGGTCCTTGGACCACACTTTAAGTGGCCAGGTCTTAGGAAAGGTGTCTATTTTGAAAGGTGAAATACAAGAAGAATTTAACCAAGGGAGAACTCAATTAGGCAGTGACTGATAGTGTAATGATCAATGACAGGGGCATAAAATGGTACCCTTTTTTATATTTCGGGAGTATCTGTGTTTACTGTTTAACTATATAAAGGGATTTTTCTTATTTTAAGGAATTCATAATTGAGAACCACTTTTTCAGTTTACCACACCTATATAAAACCAAGAAGTTTACAGTTGTGATCATTAGGGTAAAACCTTGGGTGGCATTCTAATTGTGGGAGGGCTCTAATCGACTTTCAGAGTATACAGAGCTTTCAGACCTAAGCATAAAAAGGGATAATAACCATCATAGTAACTACTTTAAGACGGGAGCCTGTCAAACCAAGGTCACTAGACTACTATTAACAAATGATCCTAGCACTCAGATGGTATCTTAAAGGAGCGATATTAGTATTTTTAGCAGGATAGCTTTTCATTTTGGGAATTGTCTCATGCATTGCAGGAGGTTCGATAATGGAATTAAACACAGTAGCACCTCCCAGGCATTGTGACAACTAAAACTACACACACACACACACACACACACACACTCTCTCTCTCTCTCTCTCTCTCTCTCTCTCTCTCTCTCCCTCCCTCCCCTAAACTCCAAATCTTCCCTTGTTGAGAATCTCTTATTTGTTGTTTTGAATTACATATGTATTAGGGCTATCCTATTTAGGATAAGTGATCATTTAGTATAGAACATGCCTAAGAAAATTGCCATTTGTGACAGTTGGGGCTTTTCAGGAAGCAAATGACATCACATTAGAGGCAGAGGTTTACTGAGGATTACACTGTGAAAAATAAAGGAGCGGGAGACAGGACCGGGAAAGTAGAGCATCAGACAGATTCTCAACCTACCTAGTGGGAGCTCCAGAGCAAAGATGCTCAACCTACCTAGTGGGAGCTCCAGAGCAAAGATGCTTGCTATGGGAGTGCTGCACAAGGAGGACAGGCCAGGACCAGCCATCCCTGCAGCCCAGGTATTGGCCTGGAGAGAGTGCAGCCTTGGCTTGGAAACTGAGGCAGATCATGAAGTTACTAGAAGTTCCGAGTAACATGCCACCATGATTTTTTTTCTCTTAAGTCATTTATTTCACGAGGTTAATCATTATTACCAAATATAATTGAGAATTATTATTTTTATTCAGTATAAATGAAGACAGGAGGAGTTGCTAAGATAGTCACATCATTGGATACTAAAATCCATTATCTTAATTGCTTTTTTTATTTTTACAAATTAGTGTTGAAATAGCCCTGCAGCAAAATGAAATCATGAACACATTCATTGATGACTGGAAACACCTTGCAGAAGAAGAAGGCACCTTTGGGGACAAGACTGATACCCACCTGAAAGAGTACCAGTCCTTTACCGACCTTCATAGCCCAACAGAGAAAATGATTACCTGTGTCTCATGGCATCCAACTATCTATGGTGAGATGGAAATGATGGGGATTCCCTTTTGTGATAACATTGAAATTGTCTGTTGCAGCCCAGCGCAGTGGCTCAAGCCTGTAATCCCAGTACTTTGGGAGGCCAAGGCAGGTGGAGCACAAAGTCAGGAGTTCGAGAGCAACCTGACCAACATGGTGAAACTCCATCTTTACTAAAAATACAAAAATTCGCCAGTCATGGTGCTGCGCGCCTGTAATCCCAGCTACCAGGGAGGTTGAGGCAGGAGAATTGCTTGAACCTGAGGCAGTGAGCCAAGAGCATGCCGTTGCACTCCAGCCTAGGCGACAGAGCAAGACTCTGTCTAAAAAAGAAAAAAAGAAAGAAATTGTTTGTTGCTTTCATATGTAAAATTGCAAACTAGCTCAATGTCAATAAAACACCTTCCATTTGCTGAGTGCTTGCTAGGTACCTGCCACTGGTTTCCATGCCTTCACTGTTGTGTGTCCTCCCAGCAACCCTGAAGGACACACAGATGTCATTATCTCTGTTTCACAACAAAAGGACCAAAGCTCAATTCAGGGAAGTGAGTTGCCCAGGTCACCCAGATGGCACATGGCAGAGCCTGGGTTCGGCTTGGGCCTGTTGCTCTCAATGGCTAAATTTATTCCTCTGAACACTGCCTTTCTGGTTATTGGACCAGAGAGGAAACACGTCTCTTTTGAAGAGCTCATTAACCAAGGGAGGTAGGTAGGGATGTGCGAAGGTGGAAACATGGAAAGAGAGAGGTCTTTGTCCTCTTCCTCCTTTCACCCTCCACTGGCCCTTTTCTCACAAAAAGTAAAGAAAACAAGCTTTTCTTTTCTTCTAAAATCTTCTGAGTCTTTTGTATATTTTATACTAATAGTACATGTCAGTTTGGACCTGCCAGATTTCAAGTGCTAAACAAGTGACATGTAACCAGCGGCAACCACATTAGACAGCAGAGCTCTAAGAAAACTCTTGTTCTCCTGTGGACAAAGTGAAAATGAAGAGTGGCTGTGTAGAAAAGCAAAGGCTACATCTCTCCATGTATAGTTGCTACCAACTTTAATTTCTACATGTGTTTCAACCAGGGCTAATAGCTGTGTCAGTAGCTGTGCGACTTTCTTTTGAAGACAGAGTTTACTTTTCTGGTAAATTATTGCTGCAGCCATCACTGATTCTTTTCTGGAGCTTCTCCGATCCTATACATCCTCAGGTAATTAAGGAGAGTTGCCCATATAGCCTAAATTTTCAAAGACTACTTTCATTTGTACCTTTAGCAGTTTTCATTGCAAAGTATTTTATAATCACTTATTTGTAAACCTTTAATAAAGTTAGGCTTTCTTCAGTGCAGAACGTGTCATCATTCCATTTGAGCAAAACTAAAATTTACAGTTTGTTTATTGAACAAATCAACATGCTATTTTTTCCCCAAAGATTGTAAGAGGAATGTTTAAACTATTTTTAAAACAAACTCTTTTATGGACTTTACTTAAATACTAATTGGTCAATTGCAAACAGATTTTAGTTTCACATGAATTTCCTCAATTCCAAGGATCACCTGGTAATAAATAAAGGTGACTGTGTAGGAGAGCACTGGGGAGTGGTAGGGACTGCAGCCTTGGAGAGTGCACCACCCATCTCCAGGCTGTCTGCCCTCTCATTGCCAGGTGGTCCCATTGTCAAGAGAATTGAGAAATTTGGAATTTTATATGAAATCGCTCAATTTTAAATAGCTCAACTAAAAGCAAACCAAAACCCACAAAAACCCCACTCAAACTAACCAAAATGAATAGCAATTCAAATAAAATGAGGCTGAAGGCTGGGTTTGCTACATAGGGTTCTAGTTTCCATTGTGTGCTCAGTAAGAGGTCTGCCTAGTGGGTGGGTGCTGTATAGTGTTAGACTAAGTAATTTCAGTGTATTAAATATAATAGTAGTTTGTTTCTAAAAGGTATTGCATAATTAAGACTTTCCCTAATAAACCCTAGGCTCCCCTTCTTCCTTTTTCTCTAATGCATTTGACTTAAGGTCATTTTGCTGTAATAGATTCTAGATACTTTAATTATTATAGACCCAGAAATCAAAATGAAAGATCTGTAGCCCTTTCTTGTCACCCACAACATCACCACTCCCTCACTAGAGTTTTCTATCCTTTCTACCCTGTGGCTCTCCTCTCCACTCCAGGAGGGCCTGGCTCGGTATTCAGCAAGCAACAAAACAGGCACAGATCCTGTCCTCACAGAGCTTCCCTTCCATGCTTTTCAGGAACACAAATTTCATAGTCTTTTTGTTTATAAACATTGTAACATGTTCCCAAAATGACTACAATTTGTCTACACTGAGGGGTGGGTTGTGGAGATACCTGTGTCCCCTTGAGAACATACTCAATGTCACTCTATGGCCAATGTGCACAATAAAATTCAACAAAAGCAGCTTTTATTCCAGAGGCAGAACTCTGGGAATAGACTCTGTACACCTTGCTTATAGATAGCTATAAAATTAGACTTTTATCTGTCTTAATATTTTCTAGCCATGATCTTAATAGGTTTTTTCACCCTTTCTTGAATTTGCTGGGTTTACTTTAGTTAATGCTGGAGAGCCCAGATGACATCTTCTGCTTCAAGTTCTGTCCGAGTGATCCTAATATCATTGCTGGAGGCTGTATCAATGGGCAGGTACTTAAGGAATTTTTTTTCAGCTATGTATTAATGTAGACAACCTTTAGTAATAAGTTTTGATTTGGCAGTTTCTTGGACTTAAGGATTCAATTCAGCAGAAGTAAGGCATGCCAATTGTGTGCCAAATACCAGGAAGCAGGGTATAAAGACGTGTTACACGTGGTATCAGCTTCTGAGGTGTTCATGGTGTAACACAGCTTCAAAACTGGAACAGAATTGGTTGTCTATTCATGTTGCTAGGATGGAACCACATATTATATAAGATTCCATGGAAGAACAAAAGCTATAAGTATTACTACCTCTTGGAAAAAAGGCCTCTTCTGAAATTTCCTTGGGAGTAGGAGTTAGGGGATGATCCAGAATTTAAACAGAAATTCACTGGAAAGCATACATATATCACTGAATTTATGTATGTGTGTATACACACACACACACATACATACATATACAGATAGATAGATCTCGATTACATCTTTTATCTTCTTTTTAAGTTATTTAATACCAAATTTAGATCCTAATCTCCAATATCCTACTTCTCTAGTGAAACAAAATAATCATAAAGCCGTTTTATGGTCAGTTTAAATTCATTGCGACTAAGTGGATTTGACCATTAAAAGGGAATATGATTTTTGTGTGTTTGGTTTGAAAGACTTCCTTGTGGTTAAAATGTAAATGCCTGCGGCTTCCATGTCCATTTATCCAGAACAAAAATAACCAGGAAAAAAAATTTTTCTCCCTCAGTTTTGTTCAACCATAACTGAGGGTCATAACGACTCAGCGGCCATCCTCTAAGCCCTGCAAGTCCTGAAATGCCTTTTTTATTCATTACAAAGGTAATGTGACTTTGTTTTAGAATATTTTAGAAAAGCACATTATAAAAATAAGACCACTCACAATTCTGTACTCCTGACATTTGTTAACACTTTAGTATACTAAAATACCTTTTAGTCATTGGAAACCTAATTTAGTGTTACGTATCTACCTTATCCTAATTTTTTTTTTAAAAATGGCCATCCGGATACATAAGAATGCAGAGTTGGCCATAATATTCAATTAAATAGAAATAATCACTTCCCAGCCCTCTTTGGACAGTCAGGTGTTTGTACTCAATTCTGGAGTATGGGCTGTTTTTTTCCTGGGTCCCAAGCAACTATCCCTACAATCACAGCACATTTCCAAAAACAGGGAAAGAACTTTTCCCAAAGCAAAGGGAATTGCATGACATTTATTTTGGATTTTTAAAAATACTGGCATTTATTAATATAAGCACATAAATGAAAGTGCTAAAGATACAGAGAAGAAAATGTTCTTTTTATATTAGCTTTAAAAATTGCTGACTTAAGGTATAGGCTAAATTTGATTATCCCCTAAGGTGATTGACTTATCAGGCTACAAACCAATAGTTAAAATAAATTAAGACCCAGTTAGATATTTTCTAAAAAGGTTATGATAAATTTATTTCTGTTTTAGATTGTCCTGTGGGATATCACTGCACATGCAGATCGCATAGAAAACATTAAGGCAGGCAGTAGTAGAAGTACGAAGGCCACACTGAAGGTAAGCTTTTTATAACATTTCATTTGCAAGTTTTTATCCATTCAAGAGTTTATGAAAAAAGTACATAATGTAGTTGCCAAGGCTAACAAAAACTCAAAAGAGAAAAAAGGAAAAAAAAGAATTGTTACTTCCCAAGCTTTCACCTGTGCTTGTGAACACGTTCTCAATCACCTTTCTGTGGTGAGCACTTGACTAAAACACAATGAATCAAGTTGCACCATCTATCCAAGAATTTGAAGTTCTGTCTCGTTGTTATTGTAAAATGAAATGAAGGGACCAAGTGACTCGCCTAAAGTGAGGTGATTGAAGGAGCACCAGACAGAAGGGCAGGTACCCAAGCTGTACACTGTAGTCCTGTGAGTTTTGGCATACCACCTCACCTCAGCAGGATGGCTTTTCTCTTTTTTTTTGCCAATCAGTTTGAGCTTATGAGGTTAGCCTTGAACTGATGACCTCGCCTTCGCGAGCGCCATGACCTCCGGCGGGAGCCACTTTGGACCCCAGGATGGCTTTTCTCATGCATAAAATGCAGGGGTTACAACATATTTGATGATAATACACCATGATTTTGTGAGGCTATGTATTCTGTTAAGAGGGTTGAGAAGATTTTTCAGTTTCCAACTCTATACCTACCTGCCATATTGCACATTTGCTCCAACCCCATTCTTTAGCCTTAACATCAACAATTCTCTTACCAAAAAGGGTGAGATGCGGCCTTCGATAGACACAAAGAAATACTCCTTCTAGAATGAGATGTCTCATTGATTCTTTATGGAGTAGGTCAATAATACTTGTTAAGGGTAGAGATATAATCTTAGAAGCCAGGTGTGGTGACTCACACCTGTAATCCCAACACTTTGGGAAGCCAAGGTGGGCGAATCATAAGGTCTAGAGATCAAGACCATCCTGGTTACCATGGTGAAACCCTGTCTCTGTAAAAGTAAAAAAAAATTAGTGGGGTGTGGTGGCACATGCCTGTTCCCAGCTACTTGGGAGGCAGAGGCAGAGGCAGGAGAATCTCTTGAACCCAGGAGGCAGAGGTTACAGTGAGCTGAGTTCGTGCGACTGTACTCCATCGAGCCTAAGTGACAGAGCAAGACTCTGTCTCAAAAAAAAAAAAAAAAAAGGAGAGAGAGAATCTTAGACCAAACCAAAGGGGAAAGTAGATAATCCTATTACCCTAATATATGATAGATGAAAACACTAATTTATGTTTTTCCTTGAACTGCTATATCTCCAAGTTGTTAAGTTTAATTGGAATGATGAGTAAAGTATGAGTTTATTCATCAGCCTCTGAAATTAGTCCTTAACTTTCTTTTAATATTTTTCAGCCTATGTTTCTCCTTGAACCAGAGAGTAATAAAGAAGCAATGTATATCAGACACTGTGCAGTCTCTTCAATAGAGAGTGGACATAAGAAAGTAATTACAGATATACACTGGCTGTCTGAGACGTTTGAGGTGAGACTTGATAGCCTTATACTTCTCTCCTGCTGAATTATATATTTTCAGATTTTATGCAAAGAAGGTGTTTCAAGTCAACAATTTATTTACATTTATATTGTGAAATAACCGGGAACTAAGCGTCAAAAAATTGGGTTACTGTTGCCAGACCAGTATCTGAGATGGGGGTAAGAATAAGGCCAATCTTTCAACTTGATTGGTTTCTAACTAAAAAATGTGGGTGGTGTTAACACTGGTATAATACAATAGTGGAGAAGATGAGGGCTTGATGTGTAAAAATGAACTGCAAATATTTTACACCCTTAGCATATATGAATTTAAGATTTATCATCTCAGATATTTAAGGGCAGAGAACCCTAAAGATCTGTGACATACCATGTAATTTTGCTGGGCACAATCTGGAATTGAGTGTGCTGAGAGGCTGGTAGGTGAAAATTTTATCACTTTTATAATACTTTGCAGTGAAATATAATACCATCTTCTCTGGTAATATGTAATTGCTTTAAGCTTCCTGTGAACTATAAGAATATGTTTAGTTTAGTATATAGATTCTATGAAAAAATGTCCACGGCACAGTAACTGGTCCACTTGTTAAGAAAAATTTATCCTTTTAAATATCTTCAAAGTTGATATTTGCAACTTTATTCCAAATGCAGTGCATGTGGAGAAAGAATCTAGACTTTCTTGTATACATTTTTCTCTTCTCCTGTAATTACCTTTCATTTTACCTGTGTTTAATTTTTAAAAAGATAAAAATGAGAAACCAAGTAAAACTACAGATATAAATATGAAAACGAAGTACACGGGAAAAAAAAAGGCTGACTGCCCAACTTCTGCATTGGTGTTTGTCTTTATGGTTGTATACTTACTTGACTATAACCTCACAAAGCATGGGTTTATAAATTTGGAAACTAGCAAGTTCCCCAAATGTTTTTCTCAAGGGCATAAAGATCTACTATGTACTTTGAATAATTAACAAGTGAAATATCAAGAATATTCTGATAAATTAGAGTTGTAAGAGGTGATTGTCATTATACCAGTTGTAAGAGGTATTCAAATGGATGATGCAAAGCAATAATACTTTTAAAAGTCATAATGAACCAAACTAAATGGCCCACATATAGTTTCTGTTATATATAAAAAGTTTACATATAATAATGGGAGTTGTAATATAAGTAAAGGAACTTCATATCACTTCCATTTCAACTCACACCATGCATGCAAATTAATTCAGATAATTTTAAATTTTAATGAAAACAAATCATAGAAAAATACAATAAATCAAAATAGAATATCAGACTTCTGGAATGAAGATAGTTTTCAAAGATGATTAATGTTGAAAGAAATCAGAAAGAAATGATTGACAGACTCAAAATATACACATATAAATTTCTAAATTAAAAAATAATGAGAGGCAAGGCATGGTGGTTCATTCACACCTAAAATCCCAACACTGGGAGGCCAAGGTGGGAGGATCACTTGAGACCAGGAGTTCAAGACCAGCCTGGGCAACATGGCAAAACCCCATTTCTATGTAAATTAAATAATGAGAGGGATGAAGAGAGATTGATTAATGGGTACAAATATACAGTTAGATAGAAGAAATAAGACCCAGTGTTTGATAGATGAGTAGGGTGACTATAATCAACAATAATCTATTGTACATTACAAAATAGCTAAAAGAGAATTTTTTTTTTTTTTTTTTAGACGGAGTTTCGCTCTTGTTACCCAGGCTGGAGTGCAAAGGCGCGATCTCAGCTCACCGCAACCTCCGCCTCCTGGGTTCAGGCAATTCTCCTGCCTCAGCCTCCTGAGTAGCTGGGATTACAGGCACGCACCACCATGCCCAGCTGATTTTTTGTATTTTTAGTAGAGATGGGGTTTCACCATGTTGACCAGGATGGTCTCAATCTCTTGACCTCATGATCCACCCGCCTCAGCCTCCCAAAGTGCTGGGATTACAGGCATGAGCCACTGTGCCTGGCTAAGAGAATAATTTGATTATTCCTAGTATAAAGAAAAGATAAATCTTAATATTTAAGGTAATAGATAGTTCAAATACCCTGATTTTATCTTTATACATTGTATGAATGTATCAGTATATCACATATACCCCCAAAATTTGTCCATCTGCTATGCATCAATAAAAAATAAAAAGTAAAAAGTCAAATAACAAAATGGAGGAAAACATTTATACCAAATATGGTAAATATAAAAATTTTTGATAAATAAGCAAAAGACATATAAAATGAAACAATTAGTAAATCAACATGAAAATCATTCAGCCTTTCTAATGTAAAAGAATTTAATAGTAAGGTGACAATAATGTGCTATTCTGGATTTATTTAATTTTTAATTAAAAAATTTGATTAATATGTTTAAAAGAATAAAGTGGCCAAACCAGAACACATTGCTGATTACAACATAAAACTATGGACTGCAGTTAGTCAATGTAGTTCTTAAGTCATCCAAATTTTCAAAGTATTTTACCAGTAATTCCAATTTTAGAGAATTCATACTAAGAAATGATCCAATTTATATCTCAAGATACAAAATTACTTGCAAAAAGCCATGTCAAAGTGTTTCCATGAAGGAAGACTGGAAGAGAATATAAGGCAGAATTATACATGATTCTAAAATATTCTGTTTTCCAGACTTCTATAATACTGTTACGTTTTTGGATTTTTAGTCATTGAAACATAAAACCACAGAGCAAGCACATCTCTGCTGTCTCTGACTTCATTATAGCAGAAAAGCCTCGGTAGAGGAGAGGTAACACCATGGGGGTTCTGGAATGAGTGGAAGTTGGTGATTCAGGCCACAGAAATGTCCATGAGGTTTGTGGTTGCCAGGCTTCTGGATGCCTGCAGACCACAGACCTGACCAGGGTGCCACCTATACCTTCCCCACCCCTATTCTCACCTAATTTCATTTGCTGCTAGAAGGCCCACCTTGTTTATTATTTTGCTCATCAGTTCTATCAAGAGGTTAGAGAGTTGGGGAAAGTCATCTATTTCCCTCTCAGTTCCAGAGTGGCATCTTCACAGGATGCCTAAAAGCCTGCTGCCACCTTTGAGAGCTAGTGGGTTGGAATTTTGGACCTTCTAGGACCTGAGAAACCACAGACACTCCTGATAATCCTCTCTGTGCATGCAGAGTTATGCCCATAATTACAGCAGGGTCGGGTCTTACAACAGTCATTGCACACTTAATATTTGGTGTTTCATTTAACACTTAGCCTCTTTCCCATTGATGTTACCTGCTTAGCAACCTCATAAAAGCACCTATGTTTGACTGTACAATTCAGCGAAAAACTGACAGAGCCTACATTTCTAATAATAATGGATAATGAAATGGTGGTACATGATCCGTATATTATAAAAGGATTAGAATAATTTATGAGGCCAGGCGCAGTGGCTCACGCCTGTAATCCCAACACTTTGGGAGGCCAAAGTGGGCATTTCACTTGAGGCCGGGAGTTCCAAACCAGCCTGGCCAACATAGCAAAATCCCTACTCTACTAAAAATATAAAATTTAGCCAGGCGTGGTGGCACATGCCTGTATTCCCAGCTCCTCGGGAGTCTGAGGCAGGATAATCACTTGAATCTGGGATGCGGAGGTTGCAGTGACTGAGATTGCACCACTGCACTCTAGCCTGGGGTACACAGTGAGATGCCATCTCAAAATAATAATGATAACAGTTTATGAATATATAGGTAAATGTTCAAATTATGTGGAGTGAAAAATCTCAGTATAAAAATTTATATGCTTCTAATTAAAACTAAGTAAAAATGTTTCCATGACAAAAAAACTAGACAAGATATATTGCAGAATTGTTTTTGATTTTAAAACCTATTTCCCAAACTTCTGAGATAGTTCTTTTATTAACGTTTAAAAAAAAGAAGAAAAAAGGTAAAAGGTAAATAGCTATGAGAAAAACAATGTTATTTCTCTTGCACTTTTGAAAAATAGATTAACAGAATGGGCTCCGTCTTTGAAAATCGAAGTGGAATATGCTGTCAGCTTGTCACATGTTCAGCAGATTGGTAAGTCTTATTTCAAACATTTCCTAATGTGTTTTCATACATGTTGTTTTTTCTTAGATGCTTCTAAAATCAGTGTCTTCTCCTTAATCTTTATTGTAGCAATTAAATCTAATATAACTAAATGAAAGAATGTTATGGATTGTTGCTGGTTTAAAAATTGTTTTATAGAGGTAAATATATTATGTAAAGAACTAACTAAGCCTTGTGGTTGATAATGTTATATAGCACTATCCATAGTTCTCCTTCACATTCTCATATTTGTAAATTTGTAATATATATTATTTTCATTCAATTTTATCTAAAAATTTTAAAGATTACAACATTTAATTGGGAAAGCTTATTTTTAAAAGTAGAAGAGTTTTAACCTTTTATTGTAGAAAGTGTTTTTATAAACAACTCAGTAGCTACGTTGAAGAATATTCACTTAAATAAAATTACATCTCCCAATTTATAGAACTAAGAATTCATAATGAAACAGGAAATATGAAGAGTACTATTATTTAGCATCCAAATGCTGGACAAACTTTCCTATTCCAAGCAGCTTTGACCCCAATGGAAACAATTACACCATAAGCTACAGAAGCAGCTGTGGAGTGGCAGGAGAAGGCACAAGTGATGTTAGCAACAGCCACAGGCCAGGGTGAGGGAGACATGATTAATCCTGTGAGCATGTATTGGGGAAGATTCTGTTACTACAGGCAATGAAAATTGACAGTGGCTAACTTAAGGGAAAGAAATAAATTTATTGAAAATAAATGTATTGGATATTTATACCAATACTCTACTGGGCGTTTTAATAGGTTAACTATTTTTATATTTGCAACAACCCTGTAAAATATTTATAGAGAGAAAATATGAGGCTACGTGAGATTGCACCATTGCACTCCAGCCTGGGAAACAAGAGCGAAACTCTATCTCAAAAAACAAAAACAAAGAAAAGAAAATATGAGGCTTTGAAGGCAAATTCATATTTCACCTATAGCTGACTAAATTAGAATGAATTATATATAATAGTGCTGAATGTCCTATATTGTAGCTAGTAAGTATGTTTCTGAATCAAAGGAAGAGCTGACTTGGGCCTTGGAAACAGCCCCAGGGATTTGGGTAGCAGAAACAAACGGCCAGCCCCTTTTCCCTGAATGGATCAGTGCCAATTATTGTGTTCTGTTGCTCAAGATTCAAAGTAACTGGAAGAGATTTGCTTGGCTCCCACTGTATCATGAATCCATCCCTTTGGCCAGGGAAGAAATGACAGACAACCTTGAGTGACAGTCCCAACCTGATTGCAGCAATGGACAATGGGGCGGTTCCCCAAAGAACCACTAGAATGCTCTTGCCAAAGAAAAGGGGGAAGTTGTCCACCAGGCAAAGACAATACGTCACCTATAGGGCCATATGAAATATCATGGAACAATTAAATTACATTATATTATGATTTCATAGGGAAACACTTGTGCTATAATGTTGATTGTAAACAACAGAATGTAAAACTATACTGGGAGAACGTTTAAAAGCATATTGACGTGGGTCCTGAGTTGTTCTATATAATGATGGCCATTGAGTTTGAAAGGAAGGAAAAAGGCTAGTTGGTTAAATTATTATTTTATATGATTATTATGTAAATATGGGAATATTCTGGAAATATTTCTTTCAAAAATTATTAAAGTAAGAAATAAAGTTGTGCTTTTAGAAAAGCTTTCAGTTACCTGGAAAAGTCCACTAGTCCTAACCTTTATACTTCAGCCATGCTAACGGTCTTATAATATAGAATATAACAAAATAATTTCCATTAATTAAGAATGTGTAACTGATTTATATAGAAAGTTGAACTGATGCTATCTGTATTTAGCAAAGCCATTTCATGAATGATGCTAATTAATGCTATAAGATTTAAGAAGAGCAATATCATTTTAAAAAACAATTTTAAACCAACCATAAACATGTTTAAAAACAGATCTTAATATGTCACTTGGGGTGTTTTCTCAAGAAATCGATTTGACAGTATAAAAATGATTAATATTTTTATTAATTTTAACCATTTATCTGTTATTTAAATGAATAATTTATATTGATTAAATTATATTTAAATTTGTTAGTGTTATTTGAGTTACTATTTAATACTTAAACCTATACATCTAAGTTATTTAATATATTCTAAATTTATCAGATTATATATAACTTTAGTGATAGAAATTATAGAGCTAATATGCATATTTTAGCCATTTTCATTGTATATTTTTATGTAAATGATACAAAGAATATAATTTCAGACTAGTGTAAATAATATTAAATACACATAATTAATATAAGTATCATTATAATATGTTGTAGTTTCATTATCAGAAGCATATTCCTCACAGGTTAATTATGAAAATCAAATGAGATAGTGTATGTGAACATTCTTTATAAAGTTTCGCATATAGAGGGTATTATTTTTGGTGCACTCTGTATATGTGTGGAACTTCTAAAAAAATTTTAAGATATATTATTTGATTTTTTAAAATTAATCTTTGGGGAAGAAGAAATAATGATAAATAACACTTGTCTTGGTGAGTGCCTACTGTGTACCAAGCACATCATATCCAACTCTGTGTATGTTATTTTCTCTATATTACTTTTAAGATTATGTCACTTTGACAAAACACCAAAAGCATAAGCAACAAAAGAAAAGTATAAATAAATTGGACTTTATCAAAATTAAACATTTTGAGCTTTCAAAGTCATTACCAAGAAATTCCAAAGTCATTACCAAGCATCCACAGAATGGGAAAAAATATTTACAAATTATATATCTCATAAAAGAGTTATATTCAGAATATATAGAAGAACTCTTATCATGCAACAATAAAAACACTGATGACCCAATTAAAAAGTGAACAAAGGTTCTCGGTAGATATTTCCCCAAAGAAGATAAACAAATAATCAGTAAGCACATAAAAAGATGCTCAATATCATTAGCTGTCAGGGACATGCAAATCAAAACCATAATGAGACCTAGAATAGCCAAAACAATCTTGTCAAGAATGAAAAATTGGGAAGACTCACACTTCCAGATTTCTAAACTTTCTACAAAGCTATGGTAATAGAGACTGATGTATTAGAACTAGTATAAGGACAGACACATAGATCAATGAAATAGACTTGAGAGTCCAGAAATGAACCCATACATCTTTGGCCAACTGATTTTTCAACAAGGATGCCAAGACAGTAGTTACTGAACTGGATAAAGATAATCTTTTCAACAAATGGTACTGGGACAACTAGATATCCACATACAAAATATAAAGTTGGATTCTTACCTCACCCCATATACAAATGTTTAAAATGGAATAATAACCTAAATGTAAGAGCTAAAACTAGAAAACTTGTAGACGAAAACATAGTCACGTGTCTTCATAACTTTGAATTGAGGGATGATTTCTTAAATATTGTATAAAAAGCACAAATGCAAATCAAAACTATTTTCGATGAAATACAACTTCATACCCACTAGGGTGTCTATAATCAAAAGACAAAAAGCAACAAATGCTGGTGAACTTGCAGAGATGTGGATAAATTAGAGTGGTTACACATTGCCAACAGAATGTAAAAATAGTGCAGTTGCTTTGGAAAACAATCTGGCAGTTCCTCAAAAGATTAAACACAGAGTTACCATTTAACCCAGCAATTCCAGTCCTAGATACACCCAAGAGAAATGCAAACATACACACATGTTCACTGGCAGCATTATTTATAATAGTCAAAAAGTGGGGGGAGGGGGCAGAATTCAAATTTATTTGTCAAATGTACTGATTGCATCAATTTCAAACTCAATTCTCATATATAATATTAGTCCCAAGATGAGGGAGGTTGTTAACCCAATAAACAGTTTAATTCTCTAAACTATAAAGTACAAAGCTGTCTAATTTCATAAAAATCTTAGTTTCAGATACATTAAAATATAGCCATGGTCACAATGCTACTATGTAGCAGCATTAATGGTAGTGCTGAGGCTGCACCTCTTGTTTGTACTTAATAAAAAAATAAAATATAAACTTTCTGTTTAGCACAATATGTTTTTGGGATATTAGACCACAGAAACCTTTAACCCCTCAAACAACAGAGAAAAAGAAGGAAGAAAGTATTGAAATTCCTTTTGATGTACCATCTACTTTTTTGCATCTAGATCTCTCCTGGAAACCTCTCAGTAAGGTAAGTAATGTGGGGTTTAGTCCATCCTGTTTGCATAATACGCTATTTACTTCGCATGCATAGACATACATATACACACACTCTCTAAAAGTAGAGCAGCTCAAATTAACACTAGACTGTACAATTTGTGTTTATTCAACCAATAAATTTCTTGATTGAGGTTTTTTAAGTTTTAGTTTATTTTTAATTGATACATGATATTGTATATATTATATAATGATTTACACAGATTTACTGTGAAAAGTTGAAAATGAAGAAGTATATGGTTGCTAATGTAGCTGATGTTTGTGATATACAGAAAAAGGAAGCAGAAAAATATTTCAGTTGTTCTATCTGTGCCAATAACAGTGATAGGTTTCAGAGTTCCTGGGAGAGCTTTAAGCTCTCATTATTTTTAATTATTATTTTTAAGAAATAATAATAAAAGAATTGGAAAGAGAATTGGGAAAGAATTTGAAAGAGAAGATTATAAATTTGGGGGACTGGGGTAGGATCTACTGAGCTATGAATAGTTCAAACAACCCCAAACTCATCCAAGATATTTTAATTATTTTTAAAATTATTTATTTTTATATTTTAATTATTTTTAATTTATTATTAATATTGAGGGGTACACATGCAGGTCTGTCCCATGGTTATGTTGTATAATGCTGGGGTTTCAGCTTCCGTTGAACCCATCATCCAAGTAGTGAGCATAGTACCCTTGAGGTAGTTTTTCAACCCTTTCTTCCCTTTTTCCCTTCCCCCCAGCAAGTTATTTTGATGCCTTTTTAGATCCAGGCAGAAATCAAAATTACCATGAACTTAAGATTGATATTTCTTTTATAAACAAGCCACAATTTGCAAATGATTTGTGTAACGATTATTCCATTGCATATCAGTTGCCTGAAAATTGGTTGGTGCTCAAGTTAGCCCAGAAAAGCTAATTTTCCTCCCTACTATAGCCAAAATTCTGCATGTTTTGCCTATCAGTAGAAGGAAACAATAGTGTTCCTTCTCTAAGTTTTTGGGATATTAGAGCACAGAAAGCTTGATAATACCTATGACCAAACAGAACTGAAAATTAATTGAATGAGAAGTTGTTTGTATTTATTTCACATGGCAGAGCTTGAAGAAAAGCAGTTTTAATTTGCAGAAAATGTGGCTATGGATGAGATATGTGTGGAAAATATAAATGGACTTCAAACGTTGGTGGCTCTCTTTTTTTAGAATGTCTGGTTTTAATTTTAAGCTTAACACTTTTCTTCTGATTTATAAGTATCACAATAATTATATTATTTTATATGTGCTCCCAATGGAAGAGAGAACATGGAGGAATAAGAATATTGCTGAGGTAACTGGGAAAGAATTGGAAAAAGAAGATTATAAATTTGGAAGACTGTGGGTAGGATCTACCGAGCTATGAAGAGTTCAAACAAACAACCCCAAACTCATCTAAAAATAATTGCATAGCATGTGAACAAACATCCTGACAGAGAAGGGGCTGAGAGAGCCGTGAGGGAAAACTGTGAAGTGTGACAGTTTCTCTTTCCAGCCACCAGGATGCAGTGCAGGCCCAGGGCCACTTCTGGAACTCCAGGGCATGTTCCTGAGAGGACTTGGAGGTGGCCAAGCAGATGCAAGGTCCCTGCCCAACTTTCTGGAGTTTCATTTAACTGAAAATTTAGGGAACAGGGTAACAAGTTATTATTACTTTATACTAAAACTACTAAGGATATATTATGGAATACCATACAAGACATTTTCTTCAGAAAGAAAATAACACACATGAGAATTTGGGATGTGGAAATGTGTCTCCGGACAAGCTCCTTTCTGTGGCTGGGTTTAGAAATGTGCTCTCCGTGGAGAAAGGCAACTAGAAATTTGAGGGCCAAAGGAAGAAAAAAAAGGAGGTGGGTTTCCTTCAATCTGGGAGTAGAAGGGAAAGGAAAGAATAAATTACCCAAGGATAACTTCTGGATATGTGGACATAATCTTTCCCATATGTTCTCCCAAAAGATAAGGCTGTCCAAGGGTGAAACAAGTTTAGACCACTGCCCAACCAGAATAAGCCTGAATGAAGACCGTCTTCTTTACAAAACAGAAGGTAACTGCCTTTATTTAAAAAAAAAATTTTTTTTTAGTAGTTTGAGTGTTAGTAGCTGATTATGACTAATGTGAGTTACCACTAGGATAGTGTAATTTGTAAAAGGAATACAGAAAATCAAACCCTCCAATGTGGAACTTTATAATGGCAATAGTAGCTATTGCCAACACATTAAAACTGCCTATACACAAAAAAGATTCAGTTCATTTCAGCTTCACAAATATTTATTGAGCACATTTATGTGTCTTTAGAAACTCATTACATTAAAAGAAAATGAAGTCCACTTAATGAATATGTTATGTGCTCAAATAATAATGCTACAGAATGGAACACATCTGAAGTCTAGCAGAACAAGTTATGAAGTATCAAGAAACAAATTACCATTCTCAATTAGAATATGATTTTTAAAAATAATATTTATATGGCACCAAGATAAAACTGAATAAAGAAAGAAAACTGACTTTTAAATCTATCTCAACTCAACCCACATATCTTTGTTGAAGTAATTGAAGGGCGTACATATAAGCTGTCAAAACTATTAAGATAAAGGCATGCATGAATATCCCAACTGGAGAACAATGCATAGTGAAAATGTTCGAGAATAACTAGCAGTTGAAATATTTTCCAGACATTTTATTTATCAAAAGGATTTCCATTTATAAATTTTTCAATGTTAAGTTAAATGATAGGATATCTAAGAAAAATATATTACATATAACTAATACCCAGCTTTAGCAAAATTTCACTTTGGAGCCATGTGTTTTATTAATATAACCCAAAATCTCCTGCTAAAAAAATTTGAATCACTAAATTTTTATAGATATTTTCAAAGCATTATTAAACCATTGCATGCTGTTTCTCTATTAGGGCCTGCTTCATTCTAGAGGGAATCTAACGTGAGTTTTCTCCTTCTTCACCTCTCTTCCTCTTCTTTCTTTTCCTCTTTTGTATTCAATCATTAGTTATCATGTATTGCATTCCAGCCGTGGCTCAGGTACTGTGCTACTATTGCATATGCTTTCATTCATTAAACAGATATTTATGAATTGCTTACTTTGTGCTAGGCCCTGGGTATACTATAGTGAGCAAAAACAGATGCTAATGATCACAACAATCTATCTACAAGCTGGGAATTTCCATTACTGTTTTATAATTAAGAAAATCAAGGCTGAGAGAGGTTAATGTAATTTGTAAAAAGGTAACTTATTAAATGTGCTAGTATTATTTTTTAACCTAATGAAAACAGGTGGCCAGGAGGATGTGACTACCTTTATCTAGTTTATAGAAAGGGTATCATTACCTATTTTAAAGTGTGAGGGGTTTTTTTTAATTCATTTTTAACAACCACATTGAGGTATAATTGACATACAATGAACTGCCTGTTGTCAAAGTGTTCAATTTGATATCCTTTGACATATGTACACACCCATGAAACCATCAACATAATTGAGATAATGAACATATTCACCACTTCCAAAAGTTTATTCAAACAGGAATTCCCTTTGGGACGCTTCCCTCCAGCACCTCCCTCACTCCCAGGCCACATTGGATCTACTTTCTATCACTATACATCAGTTTGCATTATCTAGAATTTTATGTAAGTCATACAGTATGTACTCTTTTTATTTATTTAAGAGATGGGGCCTTGCTCCATCACCCAGGCTGGAGTGCAGGGGCATGATCATAGTTCACTGCTGCTTCTAACTCCTGGGCTCAAGCTATCCTCCTGTCTCAGCCTCCTAAGAGCTGGGACTACAAGCATGCACCACCACATGCAGCAATCTGGCTTCTTTTAATCAGCATGATTATTTTAGAATAAAATCTAATTAGAATAAATCTAATTTTATTTTAGAATAAAATTCATTCATGTTGTCTGAATGAATCCTTTATTAGAGTGGCATTTCATTGTATGAATATACAACAGTTGTTTATCCATTCACCTGTTGATAAACAGTTAGATTGTTTTCAGCTTAGGCCTATTACAAATAAAGCTTCTACAAACATTCATATACAAGTCTTTGCATGGACATACACCTTCATATTTTCTTGGGTACATCCCTAGGAATAGAATGGTTGTATTATATGACAGGCATATGTTTAACTTTTTCAGAAACTGCCGAAGTATTTTCTAGTTTTATACATTCCCACTAGCAATGTATGGAGAGTTCCATTTTCTCCACATCCTTGCCAACAGTTGATATGGGTAATCTTTTTAGTTTAACCATTCTTAAATATACATGGTCATATCTCATTTACACTTACCTAATGACTATAGTTGTCAAGCAGATTTTCACATGTTTTTTGCCACCTTTTTATCTTCCATGGATAAGTGTCTGTTCAAATATTTTGCCCATTTATCAGTTGGGTTGTTTATTTTTATTTTTGAGACAGAGTCTCACTCTGCCACCCGGGCTGGAGTGCAGTGGCACGATCTTGGCTCACTGTAACCTCTGCCTCCAGGTTCAAGTGATTCTCATACATCAGCCAACCGAGTAGCTGGGATTTTAGGTGTGTGCCACCATGCCTGACTAACTTTTGTGTTTTTAGTAGAGACAGTGTTTTGCCATGTTGACCAGGCTGGTCTCAAACTCCTGTCCTCAGCAATCTGCCCAAGTCGGTCTCCCAAAGTGCTAGGATTATGGGCATGAGCCACTGGCCTGTTTGTTTTCTTATTATCAAATTCTGAAAGTTCTTAATATATTTTATATACTAGTTTTTTCTCAGGACTAGTGATATGTGATTTGAAAATATTTCTTCCTAGTTTGCAATTTGTTGTCTCATCTCTTAGCAGTCTTTTGAAAATTAGAAGTTTTTAATTTTGAGGAAGTACAGTTTATCAGTTTATTCTTGTTGTAGATCATGATTTTGTTGTTGAATTTAAGAAATTTTTGCCTAGGCTATAGTTGCCAATTTTTTTCCTAATTTTTCTGGAAGTTTTGTGGTTTTGTATTTAGATCTATGATTACTTTTGAGTTAATTTTTGTAAATGATATATGTTATGGATCAAAGTTCATTATTTTGTGTATGGCATTCCCACACCATTTGTTGAATACACCATCCTCTCTCTACTGAACTGCTTTGTACCTTTGTCAAAAATCACTTGTCCATATATATGTAAGTCTGTTTCTAAACTCTGTTCTGTTCCATTGACCTATCTTTAGAGCAATACTACACTGTTTTGATTATTCTAGCTTTATAATTAGTCTTGAAATTAGATAGCGTTAGTCCTCCAACTATTTTTTTTTTAAAGTAGCTTTTGACTGTTGGAGGTTTTTTCGCTTTTCCATGTGAATTTTAGGAAGAGCTTGTTATGCATAAGAAGCCAGCTAGGATTTTGACTAAGGTTGTTTTGAATCTGTAGGTCAATATTATGAGAATTAGCATCTAACAAAATGATTTTTAACACATAAACACACCATCGCTCTTCATTTACTTAGGTCATTAAATTCTCAGTGATTTTTGTACTTTTCAGTGTATAAGTCTTTCACCTCTTTTGAGAGGTTTCTTTCTAAGTTCTTCATATTTTTTGGTGCTCTTGTTAATGGTACTTAAAAATTTTTAATTTCCGATTGTTCATTGCCACTGTATAAAAATACAATTTATTTATTATTATTATTATTATTATTAGAGACAGAATCTTGATTTGTCAGGAAGGCTGGAGTGCAGTGGTATGATCTCGGCTCACTGTACCTCTGCCTCCTCAGTTCAAGTGATTCTCCTGCCTCCCAAGTAGCTGGGACTATAGGCATGTGCCATCACACCTGGCTAATTTTTGTATTTTTAGTAGAAATGGGGTTTCACCATGTTGGCCAGGCTGGTCTCGAATTCCTGAACTCAGGAGATCTGCTTGCCTCAGCCTCCCAAAGTGTTGGAATTACTTTGGGAGGCGTGAGCCACCATGCTCGGCCTACAATTTATCTTTGAATATTGATTTATATCCTGAAATCTTGCTAAAATCTCTTACTAGTTATGGTGGCTTCTTTTAGACATACTGAGTTTTCTATATAGATGATAATATCGTTTGCAAATAAAGACAGTTTTACTTCTTTTCCAGTCTGGATGACTATTTTTTTTTCTTATCTGATTGTACTATGTAGAGCCTCCAGAATGTTAAATGAAGTGTGAGAGTGGACATCCCTTTTTTGTTCCTGATCTTAGAGGGAAGGTCACTATATGGCGCTGATCTGCCTCCTGTGTGGATGACCAGCTTTCAGGACTTTGAGACCAACTATGGTATTTCAGATTTCCTTTGGTCACACTGCCAACTATCCATCCATTCTGGGCACCCTTGGCCCTGTTAACTAGATTATACTCATAAGATTATAGATCACATTTTGATTCTTGATCCTGTGCTGGTTCTGCTTTGACTGTGTATCACAAGTCCTCGCTATCCCACCATTTTCTCTTGAGGTCTGTTCAGATTTCGTGTCAGTGTCTGGTACTCTGTTACTATTTAGTAGCCAGAAACTACCCACCCTTTGTCTGCCATTTTTGGTCCATGACAATCCATGCTCTTCTAAGTGGTCACTTTAAGAAATTCTGTATTTATTTTGATAAGGAAGCCCTTGCTCTGAATGGTTTTGGAATTTCTCTTTTGGAATAGCCTTTACAGCCTGAAGGCTATTCCAGACTTTACATATATATTCTTTACAGCCTTTATGTATATTCTTCTAAGCAATGTGGCATAGCAGCTAAGAAGGTAGATTCTGGAGTTGATGGTCTGGGTTTAAATCCCAAAGCCACAATGTATTATTTCACCAAGTCAAATTACTTTACCTCTCTGTACCTTAGTTGGTGGGGTTTTTTTTAAATCCATTTGAAAATAGAGTAAGGAAGATTAGGGGAGTAAATAATAAAGGGAACGACCTCATAGAGCATTGTGAAGGTGAAATGAGTTATACACCAAGCTCTCAAAATAGCACGTAGTCAACACACAGTAAATGTTAGATACCATATGTGAGACCTTGCATAAATTACTTAACCTCTCTGAGCCTCAGTTTACTCATCCTTGGAGGAGGATCAATGCATAACCACCTTGGAAGTTCTTGTGAGGATTGAATGAAATAGCTCCTATAAAGCACATACTTTAGTGCCTGGCATGTAGTAATCATTCAATAAATGTCAGTTGCTATTGTTATTACTATCTCAAAGGATGGGAAATCTGTGACCTATGAGGATGATTTTGAATCTAAGTATCCAAAGTTATTCCTGTCAATTCTGAATAAACGTAGTTAATAACATTTTTCCCTGACCTCACCTTCTTTGACTCTACCACAGCTGTCCCCAACCTTTTTGGCACCAAGGACCAGTTTTGTGGAAGATAATTTTTCCATGGGGTGGTAGGGGGAGGTGGTGGGGAAGGCATTAGCTTCTCATAAGGAGCGTGCGACCTAGATCCCTTGCATGTGCAGTTCACTATAGGGTTCGCGCTTGTGAGAATGTAATGCTGCTGCGGTCTGACAGAGGTGGAGCTCAGTCAGTAATGCTCACTCACCCACCTGCTGCTCATCTCCTGCTATGCTGACCGGTTTCTAATGGGCCATAGATAAGTATCTGTAGCCCAGAGGTTGGGGCCCCTGCTCTACCACATTAAATGCTATTAACTCAGCCTGTTTTCTTGGAGCTCACACTTTTCTTAGCATTTGTGACTTTTTTATCCTGCTGCTTCTTCAATTTTCTCTCCTCTATTTCCTTTCCTGGCTCCATTTCACCTTGCTGCCATCTACTCATGAATGTACCTTGAACTTGAATTTCAGCTGTGTGCCTTCCTCATTGGTAACACAGTCTACCTGCATGACTCTAACTTTTATCTCTGCTGAGAATTCTCCATCTGACTCTTGCTGTCTCCTGGGTTTAAACCCAGTCTACCCTATCAAAGTCAATGTGTCCAGAACAGAATTGATAACTTGAGTCCTTCCTCATTCTCTCTTCAGGCCTCCACATCCAGTCTCTCACTCAGGATAATCATGTTTTCCTTTACACGTATCTCTTCCTTTTCATTATCAGTTGTAGCCCTGTAGATCAAGGTCTTGTCTCCCCTTGTTAGAACAGAAGCCTTCACACTTTTAATCCTACACCCCCTCATTTAACATTTTTGAGTACAGATTCTCAATGTGTGTGTGTGTGTGTGTGTGTGTGTGTGTGTGTGTATATTTACAAATTACATACATATTCTACTCCCTAATATATTTGTGTACATGATTTAAAAAGAGAGGAACAGACATTGAAGTGAGAGTAAAGAATTTGAAATAAATATCTTAATGATTTTAATTATATATATTAAATGGATACAAAATGTCTTCTTGCTCTTCCTACATGTATTATAAATAATATTTTTAATAAGAACAATGTGATTGAATATGCCTAGTCATGTTTGAAATGTTGGTTTACACTGTATAATACAGATATTTAAAAATCTAGTTTGATGTTTGGCTCAGTTTTATATTGATTTTTGATGTCTTACTTAGTAGGAAAAGACACCTCTCAAAACATATAGATCCCAGACAATAAAAGTATTGGTTGACTGTGCCAACTAAGTCATGACAATCATTTTTAAGTTTTATCCAGAATCATGTTAAAGTTTTTTGAAGTGTAATCTGTCTTTTTGGTATAGCTGGTTTTCTTCTCCTGTTTTAGTTTTCATTTGTCTGTTGGTTGGTTGGTTTTATGGTTTTTATGGTTTCCTCCTGGGTAATATAACTCAGAGGACATATTGAGGAAGTGTGAAGAGAGGAGGGTTTTATGAGCATATATTTTTCAATAATCTTTCCCAGGAATTGATTATCATTATCATATTTTGAAAAACTAGTAAGTTACCTGGGAAAATGGTGAAGACATAGCATTAAGAGAACAGAAAACAAATATACAAAACTAAAATAGGATATGATCCAGTTCTATTTAAAGTTTATATATTCATAAGAAAAGTCACAATATTTTAATATTATCTCTGAGAGACATAATAATGGATGATTTTTGTTCTTTTTACTCACACTTTTCTCTATGCTCCAAAGCTTATATAAATACCATTTATTAATTTTAGAGTACAAAAAGATTTTTAAAACAAGGTAACATCAAATACTTCTAAAAAGAAACAGGTTGCCAATGATATTTGTGTTTCAGTCCCCAGATTAGTGATGCTATACACTATGTGCATGTATAGCTAGAGCTATAATACAGTACAATTATTGATATTTGGTTTGGAACAGAAAAGCATTCTGCTGCTAAGTTGGAAATCTAAAATGCTTAGACTTATGCCAACTACATTGGGAAGGGAATGGGGCAAATGTAGGTGGCAAGGGGCAGAAAGTGTAAACTGTCTATGTTTTAAAAGATGTTTCACTGTAAATATGTACTTCTTTTACCCATACTCCCCTGAAAGACAAAACGTTAACACAGAGCAAAACAGTGAAGGCAGGAGAAAGGAATCCATACCATAATCTAGAAAGTGGGATGGCCAATCTTCTCAAGCCAATAGATGACTTCTGCACAAAGTTCTTTGTGGGAACAGAGGTAAATTGGGATTATTAGCTTTTAAAATCAATAATTATTAACACTGAAATATATTATTACAACATCTTATTGGATATTTTTGCTGTGTAAAGACATAAAAATTATACCATTTACATACTTATTATGTCTGTTTTCATTAAATATTTTTAACTTTGATACCTCATAGATTCCCCTTTAAAGTGTTCCTGAACAGATGTGGAAAAATCTATAAAATTGCATCCCTTTTTAGCTAATAATGTATTGTTCAGTCTGCAAATATTCATCAAATACTTTTCTCATTTGGAAGAAACCATACTAAATGTTAGAGATTTACTAAGAAAATATACTGTTTTGTTGGGCTAACACAGTCTAGTAAAAAAGACGGTAAAAAACTCAATTCAAAAGATGAATAACAATTGGATATAATAATGACAATGGCTGCCATTTTCTAAGGACATATTATAATAATAACCAAAGTGAGCTCACATTTACTTGATACTTTCTGTGTATCAGTGTCTGTGCCAAGTTATTTTCCAAATTATATCCCATTTAATCCCAGTAATCCTGCAAGGTTGATATTATTATTGCCATTTTATAAATGAAGAAATGAGGCTCAGAACTCTACAGTCATATGGAGGCAGAGATGCTCTTTTCTCTCGTGACCCCCTTTCCTGAAATACAGACAGAGTATCTCTCCCAGGCCAAGTCACCATGGGAAGATGCCATAGCTCAGTCTCACCAGAATGCAATCTGTATCCACACTTAGGTATGAAGAGGAAAGTAATCAGTTCCACAAGCTCTGGAGAACGTAACTGTGTCTCAGGCACAGCACTGGGTGCTGGAATCGGAAGTGAATATCATGGTCCCTCTCTCCTCAAGGCACTCTCTGCCTAGTCAAGGAGCAGACACATGATAAATACCAACACCAGTCCAGAGACCATTCTAATAGGAAGAAGGAGCTTGGGGAAGGTGATCCACAAGCAGGTTGGACGTTGGAAGTTGAGAAGGACTCTCAAATAGCAAGTTACTTCCTGAACAATATTTTGGAGTTATGAAAGTCCAGAATTTCTCTGGACATAGTGAAATAGTTTGGTGTAAGAGAGAAAGGTGTGCCTAGAGTGCTTGGTTGGAATCCAATACTGAAGGGCCTTTCCTGCTATGTTAATTTGTAATTTGAGTTTCATTTAGTAAGCAATGGGATACTACCAAATAAATATGGTAGTATTTATAACTTCGTTTTCAAAGCAAAATTTAAAAATACTTTTTAATTGTGGCAAAATATATGTAACATAAAATTTATCTTAAATCATTTAACATGTAACATAAAATTAAAATTTATCTTAAATAAGTCATTTATAATAAACATAAAATTTATCATCTTAACCATTTTTAAATGTACAGTTTGGTGGTATTAAGAAACTCCTTCCCCAAAGGAGTTCTATAATCTGTTGGAAAGGTACATTCATGTTGTATAACCATCACCACCATCCATGTCCAGAACTTTTCCTCATCCCAAACTGGGACTCTGTACCCACTAAATAATAACTCTTTATTCCTTTCTCTCCCCACCCACTGGTAACCACCATCTATTTTCTGTGTCTGTGAATGTGACTATTCTAGATACCTCATATAAGTGGAATTGTACAATATTTGTCTTTTTTGTACACCCAAAATTTTAAAGCAGGGGAGTGACACCATCAGACCAGATTTAGAACAATTAATGACTGCAAGATCTTAAAGCAGAAATTAAAGCATGACAGACCCCGCTGCTCAAACTTTTCAGTAACAACTCGGTAAAATTGAGTTGAATAAAATCCAGACTCTTCACACCATGGCCTATAAGATTCTGTACCCCCCTCCTTTTTATTTTTTGAGATGGAGTCTTGCTCTGTTGCCAGCCTGGAGTGCAGTGGCATGATCTCTGCTCCCTGCAACTTCCATCTCCTGAGTTCAAGCAATTCTCCTGCCTCAGCCTCCCGAGTGTCTGAGACTACAGGCACACGCCACCATGCCCATCTAATTTTTGTAGTATCAGTAGAGATGGGGTTTCACCATGTTAGCTAGGAAGGTCTCAATCTCTTGACCTCGTGATCCACCTGCCTCGGCCTCCCAAAGTGCTGGGATTACAGGCATGAGCCACTGTGCCCAGTGTCTCTTTCCTTTTCTTTTCTTTTTTTGTTTGAGATGGAGTCTCACTCTGTCACCCAGACTGGAGTGCAGTGGCACAATCTTGGCTCCCTGCAACCTTACCCTCCCAGGTTCAAGTGATTCTCCTGCCTCAGCCTCCTGAGTAGCTGAAATTACAGCTGTGTACCACCATGCCCAGCTAATTTTTTTTGTTTTTTAGTAGAGATGGGGTTTCACTATGTTGGCCAGGCTTGTCCCAAACTCCTGACCTCAGGTGATCCACCTGCTTTGGCCTCCCAAAGTGCTGGGATTATAGGCATGAGCTACCACGCCCAGCCTTTTTTCTCATCTCCTAATACAAACTCTTGCCTGCCTTTGGAGCCCTTGCCCTGCTTGGAATTTCTTTACTCATCACTCAACAGATACTCACTGTACATTTAATATATGCCAGGCATTGCTCTTGGCTCTGGGAATATAGCAGTGAACAAACAGACAAAATTATCTGCCTCATGGGGTTGGCATTACAGTGGAAGATTCTACCAACTTTGTTTTGCATTTGTTTTGGTTAACAGTCAGTCTGAGCATGTGAGTGTGAGGTCTTTTGTCTCCTAAGTTGTCATTGTACTCATCAGGAACCTGTAATAATTTTAGGATGGTGAAGTGATATACACAGATTGGAAAATGGAAAAAGACCCTGAAACTGGCCGACTTATGCGTAAGTTTTGTGATTGTCCTGTTATTAATAAGATGTTCCTTTTAATTTAAACTATCCAAGGGAATCGTATGCAGTACAGAGTCACCCTGTTCTTGCTAATGGGAGGGAGGGCTAATGACTAATAAGGTGGAGGCCTTGAATAAGCAGCATAGTTGTCACCTGGGAGCTTGCTGGAAATACACATAAAAATCTTAGATCCTACCCCAGGCCTACTGAATCTGAATGTGGATTTTAATAAGATTTTCCAGGGTATTTGTTTTCACACCAAAATTTGAGGAGCACTGACCTATATGTTGCTTAAATGACTCAGAAACTTGAGTGATTTAATTTAAAAATAAAAAGCTGTTTTGATAATTCAATAACCTGGTAATTCATCTATATGTAAAAGCTGAGTCAATGTGAGATTATAAGCAAAATGTATGATATCTAGAAGACCCCAGCAGAGTACAGGAAAAGGGACTGCAGGCCCCTCCTTTGGGGCTAGGACAGGTTGTGTCTTAATGTCTGTGGCTCCCAGAACCTGGGTCTTTGGAGAGCTGAACTTCTGTCACATCCAGGTGTGAGAAGGAACCATAGTCGGGAGTACAGGCACCCCAATAAGGAAAGCTCCGTCTCTAGTAGGCTCAGAGCCTTGGGGCTCACTACTATTGTAATTACTCATTTTAAAGCTTTGAATTTTGCCATGGCGTGAAAATATATTTTAACTGCGTTTCACAGTTTGGGATAACCATAAACAAAGGAAGAGGTAGCTCCTAGGATGGCTAGGTAGACAAAGACTGGCAAGAAGGCTTCAGAACACTGTAAGGGAGCAGTGTGGTAGAGCATCTTGACTCCTTGCAGAAGGGATCTGGTCAATCATGAGAGTGGAAGTGTGAGTGACTAACGGGCGAGAGGTCAGAGCCACAGCCTGTAGGGGACAGCTATTGGAGCTCAGGTCTTCGCCTGTAACCTCCCAGCCTCACTCCTACTGTGGTTCCAGAAATCAGAGTCCGTCTTAAGATCTGAGAAGACTGTCAGCTGTGCCTTCAGGGTAACCATTTAATCTTGCAGCCAAAATACTCCTACTTTATTCCCTGACTAGAACCTCAAATGTGTGTTGTTGACAACAGTAGGGCATTGAGAGAGGATTAGATTTTCCACTTTCCATTCATTCCCAATTTCATGATTTAAAGCTTAACTCAACATTAGATATTGGATATAAGAATTACATTCAACTTCTTTTATGCTTACTTCTATATCTATGTATTCAACAATTAATGAATGTTCATTGTGCACGTACTCTAATCTAGGCATTACAGAACATGACAGCAGTCTTCACCACACCCCTGAGACATAAGCTGATGCCATGACTAGTTTATGCATAGGGAACACTGATTCTTCCCCATCTCAGAGATTTTCTTGGGGCACCACTTCCTCCTAGACTGCGTAAACTGCTTTGGAGGGGGCCCATGACAAACAGATTTTTAAGAAGAAACTTCTAAGAGACAGATTACCTTAATTGAGATGTGTGTGATAAGGAAGCCCAAATCAAACAAACTTTCCAGATTATCTAAGTGACAAGCCAAGATAAATGCAGGCTGAATGATGGCAGTTGACATAATCATGTCATGTACTGTACTCACAAATCGATACATATCATGTGCTAGGTACTTTCTATGGATAATTCGTGTAGTCCTCACAGCAGCCCTATGGGTAGCTACTGTAGGTGCCCTTGCCAAAATTTGAACACAGGCAGTTTGCTTCCAGAGTCTTTGCTCTATATTGCCTCCAGCATTAGATAATGACTCTGAAAAATGGCTTTTTCATTTATTGTAATTTGTTTATAATAACCTGGCCTGGAGACTCTGGCAGTCCATTTAATAATTTAAGGACAGTTCCATTCATTACTAAATGACACTAAGGTCTTTCAAAGGAAAAAAGAATGGAAAAGTTTTTATAGGCTGAGAACATCTAATGTTATTTTAAAGTGCAAACCTTACGATTGTCAACATCACTATCATCGGTCATCATTTCAGTCCTTAGAGGGCCCTGCTCCACGGAGTGAGGTGGTGTCTAGGGAAGCCTCACTAACACAGAGGACAAACCCAGGTTCTGAGAAACAGGAGCAGCAGCAAGAAGAAAGCTGCTAGTTTCTAGAGGTCTTGGGCCTTACCAGGAATCTTCTAGATCACTTCAAGATGGCCTCAGAAGTGTGTCTTCTGTGCTCTCTTTAAGTAAGGGGTTTGGTTGGAGGAAAATTCACCTTTTTTTTTTTATCCAGAAAAGCTACATTTAAATTTTTACTTATTTTTACTTAAAAAATGTTTTAAATATGGTAAAATACACATAAGCATAAAACTTACCATCTTAACCAATTTCAAAAGTATAGTTCAGTGGTATTAAGTATACTCACATTGTGCAATCAATCTCTAGAATTCTTTTCTTCTTGTAAAATGGAAACTCCATACCTATTACATACTAACTCCGCGTTTGTCCCTTCCCCCAGCCCTTGGCAACCACCATTCTACTTTTTATTTCTATGAATTCAACTACCCTAGAATCATGCAGTATTTGTCTTCTTGTGACTGGGTTATTTCATTTAGCATAATGTCCTCAAGCTTTATCCATGTTGTAGAATGGATCAGAATTTCCTTCCCTTTCAAGACTGAATACTATTCCATTGTATGTGTAACTACATTTTGCTTATCTTTTCATCCCTCAATGGATACTTGGATTCCTTCTACATTTTGGCTATTGTGAATAATGCTACTATGAACTTGAGTGCAAAAACACTTGTTTGCAACCCTACTTTATGAGCTTCTTATAAGATTTAGTACATCTTTTTCTGCCTAATATGTCATGAATGTTCTGGGGGGAAATACCCCATCTCTCACATAGCAATTAATATGATAAAATTCAGAAGACATTAGTATAATGTGGTTGGACATTGTGGTTTGGCCTTGACAGGCATATGTTTTTTATGGTCATCCCTGGGGCATAGCCTTGTAGGCGACAAGATATTTAGAGGATTCAGTTCTGCAGCCAACCCTCAGGAAGAGGAAACTCAAGCAGAATCCTCCTGTTATTTGAGTAAAGAGACCAGAGAAGCAGGAAGACCCTGGGGCCTGGGGTAGAAATGAACTCTTGATCTTAACATTTGAACCTGTAAGGCTTCCCACTAGGAACAAATGGAAGTGCCATGGCTCTTATCAGAAACCTGGCTGTCATTCTCAGCATTTCAGCTCTATCTTCAAGCTGTCTCCAAGTCCTGTCAATTCTAGCTCACAAATATTTCTTCTTCTCCATTGCACCTTAGTCCACATCACCATCTCTCTCACCAGAACTGCCACTGCAGCTTCCTCTGCTTTTACCTGTATAATACATTCTCCCCACAGCAACCAGACTCTTTCAGAAACATCAATAAAATTGTCTCACTTGGAGACCTAAAGGACTCGTTACAGCACACAACACTTACAGTGTAATCTGAATTCCTTTCTTGGAAGGCCCGACATGGCCTGTACGCTCCTAGTCCCCGTTTGTTTCATGTCTCTCACTGAGATGACCAGGTTGCAGTCAGGGTGCCTTCCTCAAGTGTATAAAAGCACTAAACACTTCTGTTCTTAGGACTTTGGTTTATGTTTCCACTGTCTGGAATGTTCCTTCACGCCAAAATCTTCCTGTGTTGAACTGCTATTCAGGCCTACGTGACACATCTTCACAGAAGCCTTTTCTGAGTTCAGTCTAAATTACAAATCCCCTTGTATTTGCAATATTTTTTCCTTCGCAACACTTTTCACACTTTTTAAATTGTATACTTTGGGACGTGTTTATTGAAATTCTATCTTTCCTACTGGACTGTAAGCTCCTTAGGGGCAGGATCATGTTTGTTTACTAACCATTGTCTACGCAGCCAGCTACAGTACTTGGTATTACATATAGGCAATCTATAAATATTTATTGAGTTAATAAATGAGTAAATGAATAACACAAAGGATTCCTTTGAGCTTGAAAAGTGGCCTTGATGGGACATTCCCTGGACAATCCATAATAAGAGAAGAAGCCATCCCCTGACAGATCTGTTCACTCCAGCTGACCTCTAGTTCTGTACTTCTGGACCCCATTCGTGGGGCTCTGACTGTCCATTGGAGGTCTTTCCATTCTTCACTGCGGGAATGCAAATAGTGTTATTAAAGATGAGATGGCCGCCTTTCACTCCAACAGCAAAGAAGCCAGTGAGCATCCACACCATTCATGATGGAACTGTCCACACTGTTCAGAGATCACCTTTCTACAATGACATTATTCTCACAGTTGGGGGGTGGAACGTGGCCATATGGAAAGAAGGTGTCACGGTAAGTTGCCTGCAAAATGGAGGTGTGGGTGTGTGGTCCTTTGTTATTGAGAAAGACAAGAGGAACTGTTATGTTCTGACAAAAATGCCTTTGGGACACTTTTTAGAGAAATTAGAACAGATGGCCAGGGCTCCAGCTTGTCAGGAGAACCACTGTAATCCTTTTGAAAACACATTTGTTTGTTTTTCCTTCCTGAGGGAAGAAAACAATTTATAAGCTCCTTGTTCTCCAAAACTTAACAGTCTTGGAATATCTACTGTGGGCATTTTTGGGGGGTGGGGGCTAGGGTCTCACTTTGTTGCCCAGGCTGGAATGCAGTGGGTGATCCTGCTCACTGTAGCGTTGACTTCCCAGGCTCGACTTCCCATCTCAGCCTCCTGAGTAGCTGGGATGACAGGTGCACGCCACCATCCCTGGCTAATTTTTTTTTTTTAAATAGAAACAGGGGTTTCACCATGTTAATGTTGTTGCTCAGGCTGCTCTCGAACTTCTGGGCTCAAGTGATTCACTTGCCTCAGCCTCCCAAAGTGCTGGGATTACAGGTGTGAGCCACCACACCTGGCCTTGACTTGCATTTTTTCCTCCCTTGAAAATACAAGATGGGATGCCTAATTCTGTATGAAGTGCAAGGAGAAACACTGGGTTTGTCATCTTTCCCTCTGCACCAGGAATATGTTAGCGGGTTCAGAAAGTGGGAGTGAGTAAGCTGAGGGTCCGTCAGCAGGCAGACCCTCGCCTGTCCAGAGACATACAGTGGTTAAAGGGAGGCAGCAAGAGTGTGGTCAGAATTGGGAGAGGGACTGGATACAAGCAGATAAGAGCTAAACTACCAAAAACTAGAAAGATTGATAAAATCCAGTGAAGCAAGGGTGTGGGGAAATTAGTATGCTTGGTGGGATTATAAATTGACATGTCTCTTTGGTGAGCAATTTGAGATTATCAAAACCTGAAACTATGTATATGTATATATGCATATAATAAAATTATACACAAACACATATATATTTCAAAGTTTGTATACATATATATGTATATAAATATATATATATTTAATCTAACAGTTCCACTTCTGAAACTCTAACACATACAAATACTCAAAAACTATATTTATCATTGAAAAGAATTTAGAAACTACTTAAATGGCCATCAACAAAAGAACTTCTGCTTTATACCAGTGTACTTCTGTATGTTTGATTTTTTTTTTTTTTTTAGCAAGTTTTGTAGTTAAAGTAAAAGGAAATTCAGGCATGATTACCCAAAGACTATGCCAGGGTCGGGAATCTGGTTATAGAAATTCAAGGTGCTGGGAGAAGTAGACAAGGAGAACAAGTTTGAAATGTCGCCTCCAAGGAGTCCATAAATCTGCGACATTCTTTCTTCACAGGAAAATCTCTCCTAAATGTATTGGAGAGTGAGAGGTAGCTCCGTGGTTTAGTTTAGTCCCTGCAGATGTAAGTAGGGAAAGGAGCACCCCTGGTCAATAGATGAAGCCTGAAGTGGGTAGAAAGCACATTCTGTTATCACTTTTGAAAACCTCCCTAAGAAGGCAGATTACCCCATGGTAAAAAAAAAGAGAAGATGATTGCATGATGCTTAGATGGTCTAAAAATCTCTTCTTATTGTATTTATAGGCTATCAACTGCTTCCATCTGAAGTAACTTTAAATGAGAATTTACCAATTCTGTTGTTGATTTTCAACATGCAGTGCCTAGCTGGAACTGGCAGACTTTTCATTTGTTTTACTGCCTACTGTTTACTGAGCTGTTTCCATGGGATGTACATATCTGATAGCAAAATAAAGGCATAAACAGAATGTCTTTTAATCTTTACTTATCTGATGTTCACCAGTCTCCACAGAAATAGTCACGAGGTTAGAAGCAGTAGTGATTTTAGAAGCAGGATTATTAGAAACTTCAACAACTTAATTGGAAGGTTTAATCTTTTCTGAAAAGCAACTAAAAATGGCTTATGAAAACAAACAGAAAGAAAAGCTGGTATTATAGAAAAACCCTGCAACAAAGAAAAGTAAGACTTCCTAGTGGCCATAATTTTATTGCTATATGATCATAGCCAGCTTGAGTTGTACTTAACATACATTATGGTGAATTTCTCTCAGATAATAACAAATCTTTCTTATCTTTTAAAAAATTTGTTTAAAGACCGGACCCCTCTTTCAGTCATGCTGTGCACCAAAAATGTATACCTCAGGCCACTGGTCCCTGACTCGGCCCGGAGTTTTCTATATCGGCCGAGAAGATGGATATATTGATATCTGGGACCTTCTGGAGAAAACCCATGAACCGGCCCAGTCTCAAAACATTTGCATATCTATGATCACCTACATCAAACCCTGGATCTTTTCTGGTATGTTAATTCTAACTAAATAAGCTAAGTCATTTTGGGTAACTCGGGAACATCTTGATGTTCATCTGAAAAGCCTCCAATGTTTCTTAGTTTTTTGTTTTTCTTCCTGCCCCATCCCTTTTTATCCCTTCCCTTCTCTTCTTTCCTTTTCATTTTTCTCTCTTCCCTTTCCTTCTCATCTTTCCTCTTCCTTTTCCCTCTCTCTTGGTCTCAAACCTTGGACGCAACCTGAGCTCTTGTCACCATATTGCCTCATCAAGGTGGGTGGATCACGAGGTCAAGAGATCGAGAACATCCTGGTCAACATGGTGAAACCCCGTCTCTTCTAAAAATACAAAAAAAATTAGCTGGGCGTGGTGGCGCGTGCCTGTAATCCCAGCTACTTAGGAGGCTGAGGCAGGAGAATTGCCTGAACCCAGGAGGCAGAGGTTGCGGTGAGCCGAGATCACGCCATTGCACTCCAGCCTGGGTAACAAGAGCGAAACTTGGTCTCAAAAAAAAAAAAAAAAATGATTTCTGAGACATGTCAGGCAGAGGCTGGTTTTGAAGCACACAGTGGGAAACATCCTTCTCCTTCTCTGGGCAGGCAGGGTGAGCCCTAGATCTTTGTTATCCCTTGCTGATTTTTTCCCAGATAGAATAAATTTTGAGTCTTTAATTTTCATTACAAGTTGTATTTTTTAATATTATATCACTTTTGTGATTCTCCCCTGGCCAGTGTCGAGCAGTTCCCTTCATGAGATAAAATGATTATCTGGGGTTATATATCTATTTAAGCTTTAACCTTTGAACCAATTATGAGAAAAAGTAATATATAACAAAGCAAGCATAAATTCAAGTATGTGTCTATAGAAACATGATGTATGTCCTTTGTCTCCATTTTTTTTTCTGTTTCGTCCAAGTAGTAATTTCCATGTACATCCAGTATGTTTGCCTCTTTTATTTTATTAATTTTGCAGTGAGGTCTTACTCTGTTGCCCAGGCTGAAGTGCAATGGTGTGATCAATTCTCCTGCCTCAGCCTCCCAAAGTTCTGGAATTATAGAGGTGAGCCCCTGTAAAAAGCCACCAGCCTTTTTTAAAAAGAAGTTTCCCTTTGTTTCCAAAGGTGGGCAGGCATGAAATTGTCTTTCTATCCATTTCTCAGAAACATTAGATTTGGAAACTCAGTCTTCAGCATCTTGAGTGTCATAGTCTCTTAGCCATATGTGCCACCAAAGTATCTTTTCCCTCTTTGGAGTAAAACATTGTCTTTGTACACCTAGAGGGATTATGAGACCAGGATTTTGCAATTTGAAGCAGACCTAATAAAAATGAAAAGAACACACACACAGTGAGATAGAAAATTAAAATTCTCAGGCTGGGCATGGTGGTTCACACCTCTAATCCCAGGATTTTGGGAGGCTGAGTGAGATGGGAAGATTGCTTACATCCAGGAGTTTAAGATCAGCCTGAGCAACATGGCAAGACCCTGTCTCTACAAAAAATACAAAACAAAAATTAGACAGGCGTGGTACTATGCAACTGTAGCCCCAGCTACTCAGGAAGCTGAGGTAGGATAGTTGATTAAGCCTGAGAGATTGAAGCTGTAGCGAGCCATGATCAAACTACTGCACTCTAGCCTGGGCCGCAGAGGGAGAACCTGTATCATTTAAAAAAACAACGAAGAAGAAGAAGAAAGAGGAAGATTAAAATTCTCAAGCATTTTGCATATTATACCCATTTTAAATGCTCAAGGGACACTACTTTTTACAATAAGACTTGTGGTTCTGGCTATATCTTTGAAATTCTTCTGGATAATAGTACCCTTTAGTCCTTTCTGTGTTTGGTGAAAATCTACATCATGACTTTTCTTTGAAAATCTTTCCATGTGTTCTCCCTGCTTTCTTCTCAAGAATGCCCAGTGGGCCCAGCCACAAAGAGTGTCAGCTTTAGCCAGGAGCCACATTCCTTAGACAGGCACCAGAAATACAAGATTTGAGGCAGCAGGGAGGCCGACAAAGGCTCAGTCTTGGCTTTCGTTTCATCAACTGGAAAAAATGACTTGTACATGTTTACGTGGTCCAACCATGAACATCTGATGAAAATGCCAAGGTCACTGGAACCACAGTGGGTCCTTTGGGAGAACACAAAACAAAAACACGTTTCATGTTTAACTGCTTAAGACGGTTTTCTGTTTGCTCATTTTTTCCTTTTAATTTATTTTAAATCTTTCAGCTAAACAGCAATTTATAGCCATAGCTGATTATTATGGAACACTGCATATATTAGAAATTCCTTGGACATTAAGTCGCCCTTCCACCAATGAGGTGAGTAACTTATGGCTTAGAGAATTAATGTGACCAGATATTTCTAAGATATGTCTTTAGAAAAAATTTACAAATGACAGCATTTTTGCTCTATTAGGGAACAAAAGACTCATACAGTAAATAAGAGGATATATTTCTGTTGCGTGAGTTAAATTGTTTGAAGTTTTAAAAAAAAAAAGCCCCAAACATGAGATGGGAAGGAAACCAAGTAAATGAAGTCCAGAATCTGAGAGAATAACCTGGGAATTCTTAATCATAAAATGTCATTTTTCCATTGTAACCAAAGTATGGGACACTTATTTCAGTGATACCCTTCCCTGAGGTCCCAGTTGACATGTTCATGCATCTCTTCGTCACTCACCCCTACCGGCTCCCAATCCAACTTGGAGTAGAGCAGGCAGCACATCTGAGCTGGTGGTGTTCTGCACCCCCAACCTTGTATCCACCACCCAAGTGTTTCAATATTAATAATGAGCTTTAAAAAGATCAATGAATGGAAATATATAAATGTATATACGACAAACATTAAACATATAGATTGCAGTCTGCTACAAGTCCCAACATCGATCTTGTTACTAGCAGGCAAAAGGCTCTCTCTCCCCTGGTTGCTTTCCCCAAGGTCTCTGCTGACTTTTCTGCTTCTATTCTATGCCTACACACTATGCCTTCCAGGGACCAGGAACCCAGCTCTGCTTCCAGTCCCTTTAGGGTCTGCATTGATATCCTCATCTGGGGTCTCCAAGTTTGACTGATGATATGAAACTTCTCTCAGTTTTAGAAGAAGGAAGAAACAGGGAAAAAAGCAACCTCTGAATATTTCTACTACAAAATTGCAGCTTTTCACAGCTCTTTCCTTTCAACCCTACTTTAGAAACCTCCAAGGCACAGAGCCCTAAGTGTTAACACATTAGCCCCTGAATTGTGCTAGCTCTTCTGGTAGGGGGCCTGTGAGTCCAATTTCCAAATTATATTTACCTAAGAGATTTAAAGTATTGCAAAATAGATAATCTACATAACAATCAGGTAGATGATCATTAGGTAATGATCAGGTAGATTAGGGAGGTAGATTAGGTAGGTCGTCTATGTAATTATAAGTAGCAGAAATTCTAACAGAGCCTTGTAAAGGTCATGGGGTCTTCCTGCAGATCACCCTCTCACGAGCCTCTGTTTCTAACAGATGACAAGTGTTAACCACTACTTTGAAAGAGAAGTCAAGCATCTGGAATATGTAGAACAACGCAAAAATATTCGTGAGCAAGAAAAGAAAGAAATGGAACTAGAAATGGAGAAGAAAAAAATTGTAAGTTACATTTCAGAAATGAAAGATGTTTTTCTCGAACGCCAGTGAAAATATATTCATTTGGCTTAATTCACAGTTATACTTTTTCATGTTCTTCTGTTGTGCTCATGAGAGGCAAGAGGGCATTTCTTTGATTTCCTAGCTCACTATGAGTGAGAACTGGCAGTTAGATACCTAGTAAGATTCTGTCCAATTTAAATTTCTGAAATTTTCTATAATTTCAAAGTCCTATAGTACAGATACGTTAATTCAAAATTTGAATGCTTTCATTATAAAATTTTAATATCTGGCAGATAATGCATGAAAGAAGGTAGTGCAAAAGAGTTGAATATGAATCAAGACGTGGGCTCAAATCCCAACTCTACATTTACTAGCAAGTAAAGATATTTGGAGCAAGGCTGAGCTTCAGGTCTCTTATCTTGAAAATAGGAATACTAATAACTGGGATTACTGTAAAGTTGTCAGTTAAAGAAAGTGAAAAATAAACTTTCAGTAAATAGAGCTATTATAAGGTCAGATGTGGTGGCTCACACCTGTAATCCCAGCACTTTGAGAGGCTGAGGCAGGCAGATCATGAGGTCAGGAGTTTGAGACCAGCCTGGCCAATATGGTGAAACCCTGTCTCTACTAAAAAATACAAAAATTAGCCAGGCATGATGGTGCCCGCCTGTAGTCTCAGCTACTGGGGAGGCTGAGGCAGGAGAATGGCTGGAACCTGGGAGGCGGAGGTTGCAGGGAGCCCAGATCGTGCCACTGCATTCCAGCCTGGGTGACAGAGCAAGACTCCATCTCAAAAAAAAAAAAAAAAAAAAATAGAGCTATTATAATGATAGATGATTAGATAGATAGATAGATAGATAGATAGATAGATAGATAGATAGAAAGATGATTGATAGATGATAGGTAGATGACAGATAGATATGAGGGGGTGGAGAGAGGTGAATTTTGCTGTATGTAATACACTGAAGCTATGAAACTTTAATAGAGGAGAATTTGGTATACGGCACATCCATCTTAAACTCTGCCAAAAAGAACCTAAGCTCTTAAGCACCCCATGCTATTCTTTCTCAGCTTCTCCCTGTTTGATATGAATTCTGTGACTCTGCTGGTCTTCCCTTGCCCACTGGACTTTGGGGCTTTTAAATACTCTGTGAATTAGGCTCTTCTCTCTTTCTCACTTGAGAATACCTCAGTCTCAATTTCTATTTCCCTCTTGCTCCCTCTCGCTTTTGCTCTGTTGTCACCAGTATTTCATCATTGATCCCATCTGCAGGTTCCGTACAGCCAAATACATACATCCTCAAACACAATTATTCACATGAGGCCCACAGTCTCAAAAGCACCAGCATGTGGAAATGTTATAATGTGCTGCATTAGCAAATAGATTTACATTATCACTTGTTGGTACTAATTAATGCAATAAAAGCAGAGGATCTCATTTCAAAAACATGTTTAGTGACAAAGTGTAAAAGAATGTCAATTAACTTTTCATTGAGTTCCACTGCTATAAACAAATTGATCTTAGTTTTGTTCTTTTGCACACTTAACAAAAGTTGGTTTGTTGAGATTCTAGTGTGGGAGATAATCTGCCACCCTTTCCCTACCCCAGCAATTATCCATGATCATTATGAGTGTTTAAATACCATGGCAACAGCTCCTAATTATCTACATCAGTGGGAGCAAGTAGAATTGTGGATAATCCAAAAGTAATTTGCATGTGAAATACTTTTCAAACACCTGTATATTATAATAATTATATCTTAAATTGTATTATACTTTTCAATTTCCATAACGTTCCCAACTTTTTATAACTTCATTTCTATTTGAAATAGTGCCTCTCTTTTAAGCAGAGTCACCACTTCTCAAATTTTCTCTGGACCTGCTGATATATTATGGATATGTGAATGAACTTAAAAGGGTTCCTCTGTTACATTTAGAACATGAAAAAGTCTCTAAGGAAGAACAACTAATGTTAGTCAGAAATGTCTCCTTATAAGCAACTGATGATAAAGAGGGAAATGGGAACAGTAACAACCTCAGAAGATTGCAATGGGGATTAAATGAGTTAAAATATTTACAGCACTTACCCACTAACTGGCACATAGAAAGTGTTCACACGTTCGTCCAGCAAGGCTGGCCTTTATGAGTCTCACCAGGTGCCAGGATAAGGCTGTACAGTTCAACTCAGATTTCAGGAAAATCATGTACCTGTCTATTTGCAAACATAAAATCTGGATACAGCTCACTCCTCAAAGGATAATAATAATCACCACTCTAATCGCATATGAAATGGGAGTTTTCCTAACGAGAATTTCAGCTGGAGACTCAGCCTGGGGAGAGTAGTCATTGCCATGTGATCCACAAGCTCTGCCATCTATATGGGACTTAGAAGAGGGAGATTTCAAAAGAATTATGCAACCTCTAGGATATTAGTCACCCTCCAGTCTACATAAGGGAAATAAGAATTATAGGAAAAAAGACTGAACGAAGGGACTGAGAGAGAGGGAGGGGGTTGGAGGGCCATATTTCCCCCACTTCCTCCTTTCCCAGCACATGTGACTGCTTCCCACCCACCTGCCCTCCTGCCTTCCTGCCCTCCATCCAACCCTTTCCAGAAACAGCAGCCAGGTCAAATGATCACAAACAGCCCTTTCTCATTCTTTGGTATTTTTAGATATCAGTGTTTTATAGGGATGTCTTGTTTTCCACCCCACCCCTAGAAAACATATCAGAAGTCAAAAGAACAAATGGAGGCTGAGTTAAAAATGGACTACGAGAGTTATCTGGAACTGGAAAAGACTGTTCTTATCAACCTTGGCCTTCTGAAAGTCACAGAGAAGGGGCCATACCTGGATGTAGTGTAAAAAGCTTCCTGAAGGGGTTTTGGGGACTTCTTTCTTCTTTTTATTTGTTATTTATATGTCAGGTGAACTGGCAAGCTGAACATATATATAATGGCTTATTTATAATTATAGACTTTTATTTCTCTGCTATTAAAACTTTTGAATTTTAACAATGAGATCTATTTCAATTTTTGTACCAAATATGTATCGGATTTTATACTGAATATGAAAGTGTTCTGTTTTAATGAATGTTTTCAATAACAAAATTTTTATTTTCCTATAATAATAGAAAACTTTGGATGTCCCTTCCATCCCAATCCTTGCCGTTCACACAGAGGCCTTCATCCCAGGCAGAAGGGGAAATCCAACTGCTCCTACTTATCAGCTTGCTTCTGGCCACCTTTCCAAGAAAAGTGCTTCCCCTGGGCCACTGTACAAATTGTAGGACTGTATGCTAAACAAAATATTAGCAAATCAAATTCAGAAATATATGTATATGTGTATATATATATATATATATATATATTTTTTTTTTTTTAAGAGGTTAACACATGAAGACCAAGTTGGGTTTATCCAAGGAAGATAAAGTCAATTTAAGAGTAGAAAATAAATCAGTGACTAATCAAAAGAGAGAAATTATGATAACAAGTAGATGCAGAAAAACATTTTATAAAAGTTGACATCCATTCATGATAATAACAATATGTTATTATCTACAGAAAGAATTCCCTTAATCTGATAAAGGGTGTGTAAAACAATACTACACCAAACATCCTACTACATGGTGACAAGCAGAAAGCTTTCCTTTGAGATGTGGAACAAAACACAGGGCACACCATCAGGTGCCTAACATCACGTACTGCTGTTGCCTTTTTGTGCCTGTGCTGGTTAAGCCTAGCATAGGCACCAACAAGCAACAACAGTATATGAAACTGAGATGCAGAAGAGCTCGGAGCCAGATTATGAAAGTTCCTGTATACCAAGCTAAGGAAGCTGGATTATAATTTATGGGGAATGAATAGAAGAACCAAACAGGAAGTGACCCAATCAGCTTTACTTTTAGGAAACAAGAAATAAATTAGAGTGGGGTAGAGTCTCACGGCAAGAAATCCTATTAGGAGGCAAGAGGAATTGTTCAAGGCAAAGGACCAGGATGCCCTGTACTAAAGCTTAAAATGAAGATAAAAGTGAAAGGCTGGTTGGATGGGGAAGGGAGGACAAAGGATAATACCAAGGTTTATAAGTTAGATTGCTAGAGGAAAGAAAACTCTGAGGTCAGATAGGTTTTAGCACTTAACCACCTGTGTGCCCTTGAACAGATGACCGAGCTCTGTGAAACAGATTCCCCTTCCATCAAGTCAGGTTGAGAGAACTTACCTTGTAGCATTTATGTAAAGGAAAAATGAGCACCTGCAGATAAGGGGCCTGTGCCTGGCACATATTTTTTTCATCATGATTGGAATATCCCAGGGCTCATCCTTATACCTCAGCCTCTTTTATTCTTCCTTTTTTCTACACTCACTTCCTAGGTGCATTCATCCACTCACTCTCAAGGCTTTAAATACTACCTCTGTCCCTGACCTGGACTTCACTCTAAAATCAAGAGATGTGTATCTATTTGACTTTTTGTATCTCCACTTGGATATGTAATAGGTATCTCAAACTTAAACATGTCCAAAATTGAGTGCTTGATGTTTCCCTCCAAAACCCATTCCTCCAGCAGTCCTCCCAGCCACCATGCTGCTTGAGGCAAAAGGCCATCTTTCATCTTCTTTCTCTCACAATCCACATCCAGTCTGTTGGCAAGTCCTGTTGACTACACGTTCAGAATGTATCCGGACCTGATCACTTCTCTTCTCCCTTGCTGCTACCGCCATGGTCCAAGCTGCATCATCACCAGCTCGGATTTTGCAGCAGCCTCCTGTTCTCTCTGCTTCCATGTTGTCATTTTCAGTCTCTTTCAGCCACAGCCAGATGGCAGTTTTAAATGGATGCTGTAAGATGCTGTCATCCTTCTGCCCAGAGTCCTTCCTCAGCCTCATAGCTCACTCAGAGTATGAGCCCAGCACGTGTCTGTGCCCTGCAAGCCCTTGTGTGGCAGGCTCTCCATTGTCACCAGGTCTCATTCCTCCTACCTCTCCCTTCCATCACACCCATGTCAGTCATGCTGGCCACCTATTCACCAAATATGCCAGGCGTCATCCTCTCCCTGAGCATCTGTGCTTGCTCCTCTGTACTTTTTCCAGAGATTTTTCTAATTTTATTTCACAAGTTCACTCTAAAAAATGGTGGGGTTTTATTGGTTTGTTTTAGAAACAGGGTCTCACTCAGTTGCACAGGTTGGAGTGCATTGGTACAATCATAGCTCACTGCAGCCTCAAGCTGTCGGGCTTAAGCAATCCTCTTGCCTGAGCCTCCCAAGTAGCTAGGACTATAGACACACACCACCACACCTGACTTTAAAGAAATATATTGAGTGCCTTCTATGTGCCAGGGTCTATCATTTTAAACAGGATGGTCAGGGAAGGTGACACTTGAGCAAAGGCCTGAAAGGCATGAGGGGTTTCACCTGTAGTCTTCCAGAAGTGCGTTCCATAACTCAGTCTCCCTCCCTTCAGTGAAAAGAAGCGGAGACTACAGACAACAGGAGTGTCATGACTCATAAACTATGACCGGAGGCTGAGCACATTGTTGTCTCAAATAAAAGCACGGTGCGTCAGCACAGAGGACTGGAGTAATAGATATTGAGTAAGTGTCTGCCTTAGGGTTAGCAAACAAAAAGCTTAGTATGGTGGCTAGCATATGGCAAGCAGTAAATATGTTTTGCCTAATTTACAAATACAAAGTGATTGTAACATTCTTGCTATAGAATCTAAACATGGGGCCTCTTATGCTTATGATAGCAGTTATTATCAATTTAGTGTGACATTTTGTCTTTTTCTTCTTCTTTTGAGGGGGAGTCTTGCTCTGTCACCCAGGCTGGTGTGCAGTGGTGTGATATCAGCTCACTGCAGCCTCCACCTCCTGGGTTCAAGTGATTCTCCTGCCTCAGCCTCCTGAGTAGCTGGGACTACAGGCACGTGCCACCATATGCAGCTAATTTTTGTATTTTTAGTAAAGACTGTTTCACCATGTTGGCCAAACAGGTCTTGAACTCCTGATCTCAAGTGATTTGCCCACCTTGGCCTCCCAAAGTGCTGGGATTACAGGCGTGAGCTGCTGAGACTAGCCCTGTTGTAATATTTTCATTGTGTGTTTACAACCTCAGTTTTCCTGAGTCTCATCTCCTGTGGCCACCAAGAGGTCACATAAGCAGCCATAGCCCAGATTTCATGGGACCTTGCCCCACTTGCTTCTCAGGTATTTCAGCCTTTTGCAGAGTGCTCCCAAGTGTGTCCAGTGGCCCCTGGACACACATATAGTTCAAAACAAGCCCACAACCACCCGGCACTCAGGGCTTCCTTCTCTCAAAATGCTAGAGCTGCCTAATAGCCTGTAACTTGAGGGAAGGTGCTGGGACAATGCTTCTGGGTTAGTTCAAGTTCAGTGAGAAGCAAACACCAAGGCAGAGGCAGAGGTGCAAGAGATTCATGGGGGGAGAGAGCAGAGAAGCAAGGGAGAAACTTCAGAGCTCATGGTGGTCTGGTACCTGTGGAAGGAAAGGGAAAAGGACAGAGGATGATAGGATTCATCTCAGACCACTCAGCAGGGTTTAATTATTCATGATACCTCTGTTTGTCACTAAGTCTTTGAAACAGACAAACTCACAGTGATGTTTCTATGTCTCTTCCTTCTCTGGGGTGAGTTTTCTCTGAGGCTCTTCAACCCCTCAAGCTAAGGTCCTTTTGTTTGAGCCCAGCAAGAACACAGCTGAGGCTCAAGCAAGGATGCTAACCACCTATACTAAAGATGTAGGAATATCAGGTGTGAATGAAAATGGAGTTAACCAGGGTGTGTCTTTCCAATCCTCACAGCTCTAACCCTTTTCCTTACCACCCATTCTTTCCCAACTGTACTGTGAGTCAATTGATCTCCTTCTTTTGTCCTTAAGACATTTGGTCTGGCCTACAGTGTAGTGAAAACACAGGGATCTTTAGGTCCTGGCAGACCTGAATCCAAATCCCAACTTCATCACCTTGGGCAAACTGCACTGTCCCCTAAGTCTTAGATGCCTTGTCTGTAAAGTAGAGATAATAATAATAATAGCCTCCCCATACAAAGACAGTGTATATAAAGCACCTGGAATCTAGTTGGCACTTAATGATTGTTACTGCCTTTTCTTGCTTTGTTACAGGTGTATGCATGTGTGTGTGCACACACACACACACACACCAGAGAAACTATAGTATTTCCTCTTTGTTCTATGTAATAATCTCTGATTTTAACATTTTTATTGCTACTAATAATAGAATGTTTTCCTGACTCAAATGCAACTTAAGCAGTGACTTATGCATGCCTGGTTTAATATTAGCCTTTGATCATTTTCATATGAGACCACAAGTGTTGGACATAGTATTTAACAAAAATTTTAAATAAATTTGAACAGCTTTCTTTTTTGCAGAACTGATAATGCTACTCAGAAAATTGATCATTCTAATATTTAATTTAGATTAAATTTAATTATCATTCAGTTTTACAGATTGCTTTTTATCCACCAAGAAACATGTAATTAAGCCAGCATATTTTTGGGTCCTCAGATAAGCACATCGTGTGTGTGCACTTCAGATGAAAAGGCAATTAACTCTAGTGGGTGGTGGCGCAGGTGCTCTTCACAGCTTCACTAATCCAGCACTGTAAATAATTAACATCTTCCTTGCCCTTCTACCTCAGAGCACTGCCCAGGGTCGGCGCTGCTCCACTCGGTTGCTAGGTTGCCATTGCTAGGGCAGATCTGTGCAACTGAGCAAGGTCCTCACGACGGAAATTAAATATCTCAGTGAAGGGCCAATGAACCTTTGTGTGGTGAATTCCCTCCTGCAGTCGATGAGCTGTCTGAGGGCCACGGGCTCATGTGAAACAGCTCACATTGTTAGAGCAGAACCTGCACACCAGCAAAACCAGTCTTGGGAGCTTATTGGGAAACAATGGATTTCTAGAAGTTGTGTAATTGCTTTCAAATGCTTTCTAGTTAACAAATATGATAGAAAAAACATAGACAGCATAACAGATAATATGTTTGGTTTTCTACCATGCCAATGCTCCAAACTTAAAAGTATAGAAAATAAGGTTTCCCAAACTCATCTGTACGTGGGATATTCTGAGATGTTTTTCTTTTTTTTTTTTTCTTAAAGAAGGAAAGGAAGAAAGATGTAAAACAGAATATTTCACATTCTTCCCTGTCAACTAGAGATGCATTTTTCAGCCCTTTTTAGGAACCATATCTTTAAGAATAATAATTCCCTTTAGAGAAAAAGAAAAACTGTAGAAAATAATGCTAAATAAAATCTCAAATACAGAAAGTGTCTGGTTTGGCTGGGCGCAGTGGCTTATGCCTGTAATCCCAGCACTTCGGGAGGCCAAGGTGGGTGGATCACCTGATGTCAGGAGTTCACGACCAGCCTGCCCAACAGGGTGAAACCCTGTCTCTACTAAAAATACAAAAACATTAGCCAGGCGTGGTGGCAGGTGTCTGTAATCCCAGCTACTTAGGAGGCTGAGGCAGGAGAATTGCTTGAACCCAGGAGGCAGAGGTCACAGTGAGCCGAGATCGCACCACTGCACTCCAGCCTGGGCAATGAGTGTAACTCCGTCTCAAAAAAAAGAAAGTGTCTGCTTTATTTCAGCCTAAGTAAGAAAGTTAAATAAACAATTGAATTGATACCAATTGTTCATTTTTAATGAAGTTTGTATGGATCGAAATATAACAAGTAAAAAACAGAGGCCAGTCATGATAGCTCACCCCTTTAACCCCAAGACCAGCCTGGGCAATTTGGCAAAACCCCCTATCTACTAAAAACAGAAAAAAATTAGCGAGGCATGCTGGTACGCACCTGTAGTCCCATTTACTCAGGAGGCTGAGGCACAAGAATCACTTGAACCAGAGAGGCAGAAGTTGTGAGCTGAAATTGCACCACTGCACTTCAGCCTGGGTGACAGAGTGAGACTGTCTCCAAAACAAAACAGAATAAACTCCCAAGTATCCAGAATCCTAACAAGCAATGGCTAGAACTTCATTATTTTTTAGTTCTTCAGTGAAAACTTATGACAACAAAAGACAAATAAGCAACTTTTTCTTAAGGAGTTATCATCATGTGTATAACCAAATTCATGGTCCATCCAAACGTTAGAATTCAGCTAGATAGTTATGTCTGCAGGACTTGACAATAATTGCTGATGGTCATCGGTATAAAGACAGCTCATCTCAAGCTTTGTAATGTTGGGTAAATAACCATTCTGATTCATTTCTTCATCTAACAGATGGGGATAATAAATCCCACTGCACGGAATGATAAAGATTAAATAAGATAAAACATATGAAAGTACTTTGTAAAGTTTAAGTGCTTTAAAAACATATAAAATGCATATTACAATATTTTACGTAGATCCTGAACTACTTTGGGATTCTCAGGTGACTTGAATTATGAAAGGAAGTTTAATTATATTTATTGTAGCATATTTTTATTACATTGTAATTCCAGATAGTGTTTAATTAACAGTCAGGTTGGCTGGGCACAGTGGCTTATGCCTGTAATCCCAGCACTTCGGGAGGCCGAGGCTGGCAGATCACCTGAAGTCAAGAGTTAAAGACTAGCCTGGCCAAGGTGGTGAAAACTCGTACCCACTAAAAAAACAGGTAACCAAGATATTCCATTCTCTTACCCTACTAGATAAATAATTTACATGTGTTAGCAGCTAATTAATTTAGTTTAATGATTACGTGGGTCCTTTCAAGATGAGGGTAGGAAAGAAATAAAAATAAAAATAATTATATGGATCTTAAAGTCTGAAACTTAGAAAAAGGGAAAAATACTAGATATGGTCATATGAAAGAGAGCCACCTGTTTAAAAGGCAGGATGACATTTTGTATGTTCCTTTCAACCCATCCATATCAACTGGGGATCCATGTAGCCATTACTCAACCATTTTATTTTTTAAGACTGTTGGAATTTTGCTCTGCGTTTCTCTAACAGGTACCTTAGCATCAGGAGAGGGCAAAACCTAGAAAAACACCTGGGCTGTAAGTAGGAAGTACTGGTGAAGCATCTAGTCCTCAGAAATGATATGCCATAGACAGAGTTTGAAATAAAAAGTTCACTGTGAGAATCTTAATTTTAATTGAGAGTAACAGAAAATCTGCATGGGGAGGAAGATGGCAGAAACCACTCGTGCTTGTCAAATACCCACATGTACCTCTGCATTTGCCAGTCTCCTTTGCAATCAGATTGGAGCCTTTGAATTCTAGCCAACAGGATGTGGGTGGAAGTGACAGAAGCCACTCCAGGCCTGACTTTAACTCATCTCATGAAATCTTCCCACTTTATCTTCCCCTGCTCTGTGTTCCACAGGCCATAATTTACAAAATAGAGAAAAGTTTCTCAATCTGTATCAGACTTTTCACAAGGAGGTGATAATCCTTTATCATGTTAAACCACTGAGACTTCAGGGTTTATTTGCTATGCCATAGCCAAGCCCATCCCGATGAACTAGGGCAGATTAGAGAGCACTCCGTCTTACTAGAAAAGGTGTGCCTAACTCTCAGTTGGAACTCAGAATTTGGACTTAAATATATGCACTGTTGATAAGATACCAGGAAAATTAAAAAGCCACAGATATTTAAAAAAAACAAAAAAAAACCCTTTCCTGAATTGAAAATCACCTGTGTCTACAGATTGAAAGAACAGCAACTATTCTAAGCAGATTCCAAATTTTGCAGTAAATGGGTGAATTGAGATTTACATATCACTCCAAATCCTATGCTTTTAATTCTCAATGCTGAAGCCAGCATGGTCATTTAAAAATATCAGATCTGAACTCCATCACTTCCCTGCTTACAAAGTTTCAATGGCTCCTTCTTGCCTCAGGGATTGGGTCTAAACTCTGCCTTCCTGTGGCATGGCCCTGCTTGCTTTTAAGCTCATCTCTTACTGCTTGCTCTCCCTTACTTCTGCTCCAGCCATTTCACGCCATGCTATTCTCCACACATGCTATACTCTCTCACCTCTGCCTCCTTGAAAATGCTATTCCCTTTCCCTGGATAAAAAGCTACTAAAAATTCAAAAATGCTCTATGAATTAGTATGTTATCTGTACACATTTGAAAAATAATTCATACATAATCCTCCTATGGAAAATGAATAGTGCTCCAGGCAACCAAAGTAAATATAGACTAAATGGGATTACATCAAGCTAAAAAGCTTTGAGCAGCAAAGGAAACAGTCAACAAAGTGAAGAGACAACCCACAGAATAAGAGAAAATATTTACAAGTTACCAATCTGATGAAAGATTAATAACCAGAATATATAAGTAACTCAAACAATCGAATAGCAAAAGAGCAATCAAATGAAAAAATGGGAAAAATATCTGAACAGGCATTTTTCAAAAGAAGACAAATTCAACAGGTATATGAAAAAAATGCTCAACATCACTAATCGTCACAGTAATACAAATCAAAACCACAATGAGATATCATTTCACCCCAGTTAAAGTAGCTTTTATTAAAAAGACAGGCAATAATGAATGCTGGCAAAGGTGGAGAAAGAACATTCATACACTGTTGGTGGGATTGTAAATTAGTATAATCCCTAGGGAGAACAATTTGGAGGTTCCTCAAAAAACAAAAAATAGAACTACCATATGATCCAGCATTTTACTACTTGGTATATACCCAAAAACTAAGAAAATCAATATATCAAAGAGACATCTGTTTATTGCAGCATTTATTCACAATAGCCAAAATGTGGAATCAATCTAAGTGCCTATTGACAGATGACTGGATAAAGAAAATGTGGTACATACACAGTGGAATATTATTTAGCCATAAAAGAGAATGAACTCTTGCACTTGCATCAACATGGATGGAACTTGAGGTCATTATGTTAAATGAAATAAACCAAGCACAGAATATATATGTTCTAGTTCATCTGTGAGGCTAAAAAAGTGGATCTCATGAAGATAGAGAATAGATTAGTGGTTATCAGAGTTCAGGAAGGGTAAGGGGCAGTATGGTGGGTGAAAAGTTGATTCATGGGTACAAGTATATGGTCTGATAGAAAAAATAAGACCTAGTGTTCAATAAATAGTGGGGTGACTATAGTCAATGATAATCTATTAGATTTCAAAATAGCTAGAAGAGAATAATGCATCTTACATAAAGAAAAGACAAATATTTAAGGTGATGGATATTCCAAGTGCACTGATTAACCTTTACAGATTATATAAATGTATTAAACTATTGTCTGTACCCCGAAACTATGTATATCTATGCGCATCAATACAAATTTTGTTTAAAAATAAAATGAAGAGTGCTTATAAGAATTTGTTTAGAGATTATAAAAAGAATTGATCATATGATATTAATAACTTGAAAAGTCACAGTATGAGAAATGTCTGAATCATGGTCTGGGCTTTGGAGTCAGAATTCTGAGCACTCAGCCACTTACAAGCTTTAATCATTTAACCGTGACGAGCTTCTGCTGCAGCAGAAGGAATTCTCAAAAGTGGAGCACTATTTCCCATTCCATAGGTTCTTGCCACATCCCTTTGAAGAGACAGACTGACTCCATTTCCCCTCCTCTGGAAATTGGGTGGCACTTTGTGATTGCCTCCAAGTACAGAATGCTGTGGAAATGACACGGCATCTCTCTGAAGCCAGGTCATCAAGGGTGAGACAGCTTCCACCTGGCTCTCTTACCGAGCACTCACCCTGGGAACCCAGCCACCATTGTGAGGTAGCTCATGGAGAGGACACATGTAGGTGTTCCAGTCAACAGCTCTAAATAAGGTTTCAGCCCATGGCCAGAGTCAGTTACCAGTTATGTGAGTAAATGAACCTTCAGATGATTCCAACCCTGAGACTTCAAGCTACCGCAGCTGACCCCGAGCAGAGTGGAGATGAGCTTTACTTGCCTCTGCCTGCCCAAATGCAGATTTGTGAGCAAAGCAAATGTTGTCATTATTATTATTACTTGAGACAGAGTCTTGCTATGTCACCCAGGCTAGAGTACAGTGGTGCGATCTCAGCTCACTGCAGCCTCTCTGCCTCCCAGGACCTCAGGTGATCTGCCTGCCTGAGTGCTGGGATTACAGGCCTGAGCCACCATGCCTGGCCAATGCTGTCATTATTTTAAGTCACTAGGTTTTGGGATTTTAGGTAGCAATAGATAACTGGAAAAACCACTTCACATGGCTCTTGTGAGGATAAACTGAGACCAAATATATAAGATGCCCAGTACAGTATCTGAAACATAGTAGATCCTCAGTAAATATTAGTTATGATACCTGTAATGTGTCAATAACTGCTTCCATCTGCACACTGCCTTTTCCTCTTCTACAGTCAAATCTCCCTTTGCCTCCCTTTCAGCAGAACACTTGTGACTAAATTTAGGGCTTATCTAGATAATCCAGGAAAATCTCCCTCTCTCAATATCCTTAGCTTAATTAAATCTATCAAATCCTTTTGCTCTGTAAAGTAACATTCACAGGTTCCAGGATTAGAGCATAGATTCTTTGGGGCCATTATTTGGGAAATTACCTCCCAAATAGTCCGTTTATTTATTTCTCTCTACTTTGTTCCAGGAAAGATGATAATAAGGAAGTATAGTGTATAGTAAATCCTTGCCTTTAAGACATACAATCCAGTAGACACAATAAGCCACATACTCAAATACCTATAACGGAAAACAGAGAAAATAAGTGCTACATCTCTTAAAAATTGATAAAGGTTAAAAAAAAAAAAAAAAGACTATAAATAGCAGAAACCTGATGAATGGGATTGCAGGTTCAGGAGCCTATTAAAGCAAGGCCCTAGTAGTCTGGTGCGGCTGGAGTACCGGTGGGGAAGGCAGGAAACAGGTGAGTCAAGGAGATAAACCAGCCCCGACTTTATCACGAAAGGTCATTATAAACTCACTGTTTATCACCAGTTTTAAGTCTATAACTTTGTTTCGATGTCTGCAAAATACTCCTGGGAAGAAAAGCAATTAACAAGAACAATAACAAGCAACAAATTTTTAAAAATAGCAAAATTAATTACAGAACATTGTGAACAGAGCTCTGTATTCATTTCCTAACACACTACCATGAACTTGGTACCTTAAAACAACAGAAATTTGTTATCTCGGCCGGGCGCGGTGGCTCACGCCTATAATCCCAGCACTTTGGGAGGCCGAGGCGGGTGGATCACGAGGTCAAGAGATCGAGACCATCCTGGTCAACATGGTGAAACCCCGTCTCTACTAAAAATACAAAAGTTCGCTGGGCATGTTGGCACGCACCTGTAATCCCAGCTACTCGGGAGGCTGAGGCAGGAGAATTGCTTGAACCCAGAAGGCAGAGGTTGCGGTGAGCCGAGATCGGGCCATTGCACTCCAGTCTGGGTAACAACGGCGAAACTTCATCTCAAAAAAAAAAAAGGAAAAAGAAAAGAAATTTGTTCTCTCACAGTTTTAGAGACCAAAGGTCTGAAACCAGCAGGGCTAGTTCCATTTGGAAGTTCCAATGGAGAGAGAACACATTCTTTGCCTCCTCCAGCTTCCCGTGGCTGTGGGCATTCACTGGCCCATAGCCTCATCACGCTAATCTCTGCTTCCATCTGCACCCCATCTAGATAATCCAGGAAAATCTCCACATCTCAAAATCCTTAACTTAATTAAATCTGTCAACTCCTTTTTGCCATATAAAGTAACAGCCACAGGTTTCAGGGATTAGGGAATGGATGGCTTCGGGACCATTATTCAGGCTCCCAACACCTCACAAAAAGATTCCAAAGTTGGAGAGAAATTCTAACAAAGATTTTACTTATTAGTTTACAACTTTATGTGGAAAATAAAGGACTAAATAAAGGGACACATAAAGGTCTACCTTCAAGGGAATTGTGTGACTTAGTAAACAGAAAAGAAAAAATTGTTGGATTTGTGGATTAAAAAGCAAACTTGAAAGTTTGTCTCCTTCATTTCCTGCTGGCAAGGAAAAAGAGAAAATAAAGAACAAGAAAAAAAATCAGGTTTTAAAGAAAATAATTTTAAAAACAGAATTTAAAAAATACTTGACATACTTTCTCAGGAGAACAAAGGCAGTCTGCACTGTGACTTAAACGTAACAGTAGTAGAAATTCATTTTCATTGTTATTGCTCTCTCTTTTTTGGCCTATAAAGGTCAGGCTCTCTGGGTGCAGTGACTCACGCACTTTGGGAGGCCAAGGCAAGTGGATTGCCTGAGCTCAGGAGTTCGAGACCAGCCTGGGCAACACAGTGAAACCCCATCTCTACTAAAATACAAAAAAATTAGCCGGGCATGGCAGCATGTGACTGTAGTCCCAGCTACTCGGGAGGCTGAGGCAGGAGAATTGCTTGAACCCAGGAGGCAGAGGTTTCAGTGAGCCAGGATCATGCCACTGCACTCTGCCTGGGCAATAGAGCAAGACTCCTTCTCAAAAAAAAAAATAAATAAAAAGGTCAGGCTCATAGAGTAAGGAATTCACTGGTTTTCAGAGCATTTAAGGAAGAAGTGGGTAGGTGTGCTAGTGAAGAAGCTGACAAAAGTGTTGAACTCTGGTACTAAAGAGAGAAAGTAGACAAAGGAAAAATGAAGCAAGCAATTAAAAAAATGTTTTAAAGAGAGAGAAAATATTAGCCAGAATGAAATTATAATGTGTGGAAGGAGTCTACGTGCCCATCAGTAGGAAAATGGCAAAATATGTTCATCAGACAAGGACCTACTCTTCAGCTGTGATGAGGCACATTCTTCATTCCAACAAGAAAGGAAGTTCACATATTATCAAGGGAAAAATCAAGTTGCAAAACAATATGTACAACATGATGTCAGTTGTGTCGAACTGTGTATGTGTATTTGTACCAACACTCATATTTCTCAGCATATGTATAGAAAAGTCTGGAAGTGTAGCCATCAATGTGTTCATTCTGTTTACTTCTGAGGGATGGAAAGGGAGAAGTATGCAAGGCAGAGAGGGGACTTTTACCATCCCCAGCGTTTTTAATCAGTACATGGCTAATCTTTATACTCTTCACTCCAGATTATTTTGAAGCAAAGATAAGACTTTAATAGATCTCTGTTGCTTGGATATTTTTATAATAGGTCTTTTACGATTTAACAATGGTTGTGTTCACTGCTGGAAACTGTTAATAGATGGCCCACTCCTAATAGCAATAGTTTTCATTTCCTACTACAGTGTCAGGGACTGTTCTTTTTCTTTTTTATTTTAATTCATGTCATATTTTGTAGGTATATTTAATAAATTTAATACCCATTAAATTTAAATAGATGCATCTAGTTAATATACTTTATTTTTCCTTTCTTTTTCTTTTTTATTATACTTTTAAGTTCTGGGATACATGTGCAGATGTGCAGGTTTGTTACATTGGTATACACTTGCCATGGTGGTTTGCTGCACCCATCAACCTGTCATCTACATTAGGTATTTCTCCTAATGTTATCCCTCCCCAGCCCCCACCCCCAACAGGCCCCATTATGTGATGTTTCCCTCCCTGTGTCCACATGTTCTAATTGTTCAGCACCCACTTATGAGTGAGAACACGTGGTGTCTGGTTTTCTGTTCCTGTGTTAGTTTGCTGAGAATGATTGTTCCAGCTTCATCCATGTCCCTGAAAAAGACATGAACTCATCCTTTTTTATGGCTGCACAGTATTCCATGGTGTATATGCACCACATTTTCTTTATCCAGTCTATCATTGATGGGCATTTGGGTTGGTTCCAAGTCTTGGCTATTGTGAATAGTGCTGCAATAAAAAAAAGTGTGCATGTGTCTTTATAGTAGAATGATTTACAATCCTTTGGGTATAGACCCAGTAATGGGATCACTGAGTCAACTGGTATTTCTAGTTCTAGATCCTTGAGGAATCACCACACTGTCTTCCACAATGGTTGAACTAATTTACACTCCCACAAACAGTGTAAAAGTGTTCCTATTTCTCCACATCCTCTCCAGCATCTGTTGTTTCCTGACTTTTTAATGATTGCCATTCTAATTGTCGTGAGATGGTATCTCATTGTGGTTTTGATTTGCATTTCTCTAACAACCAGTGATGATGAGCTTTTTTTCTTATGTTTGTTGGCTGCATAAATGTCTTCTTTTGTGAAGTATCTTTGCCCACTTTTTGATGGGGTTGTTTTTTCTTGTAAATTTGTTTGAATTCCTTGTAGATTCTGGATATTAGAACTTTGTCAGATGAGTAGCTTGCTATTACAAATTAGTCTGCTATGATAACTTCTGTACAAGATTTTTCTACCGACATATGCATTCATTTCCTTTGGATAAATATCTAGGAATGGAATATCTGGATCCTGTGGTATGTATATGTTTAACTTTTTAAGATATTGCTGAATATTTTCCGAAGTGGTTGTGCCATTTTACAATTCCCACCTGCAATATGTGAGAGCTCTAGTTCCTCCACACTCTTGCCAGTAGGGTCACTCTTTTAAAATTTAGCCATTCTAACTGATGTGTGGTGGTGTCTTTTTGTGGTTTTAACTTGCATTAATGACTAATGATGTTAATTTTCATGTCTTCATTTGTCATTCATATATACTCTTTCATGAAGTGTTTGTTCATGCATTTTGCTCATTGCAGGGAGCAAGGGGAGTGTTTTTTTTAACTATTATTGAGATTTTGGAATTTTTTATATATTCTGGATGCCAACCCTTCTATGATATATGCAAACATATGTTCCCTATCTGTGGTTTATCTTCGTATTCTCTCAAAAGGGTCTTTCAAAGGGCAGAAGGTTTTACATTTGATGAATTTCAGTTTATCAAAGTTTTTTATGTTTTATGTTTTTGGTGACCAATATGAGAAATCTGTGCATAATCCAAGGTTTTCTTCTAGAAGTTTTATACTTTCAGGCTTTACATTAGGTCCCTGATGTATTTTGAGTTTAACCACGGTGTGCGATGTGGGTCCAAGCACTTTTTCATGCAAATATTCCGTTGTTGCAGCACCATTTGTTGAAAAGACTGTTTTTTCTTCACTGAATTGTCTGGTCAAAAATCAGCTGTCCATATATGTATGAATCTATTTCTGAACTATTATTCTATTGATTTGTCTATTTTGATGCCATTTCCATACCATCTTGTTTACTGTCACTTTATAAGTCACCTTAAAATCAGATAATGTTGGTCCTCAAACTTTGTTCTTTTTCGAAGTTGTTTTGGTTAGTTTTTCATATGTATATTTTAAAATTTACACATGCAATTCTGACCTTCATAAAATTTCCACTAGGTGATTTGTTAGAAGCCCAACAACCCCCTTGTGACCTGTTTAAATGCATTAAGGATATAGCTGATAATGGTTTAAATACTGATCCCTACTGGTTAAGGATGAAAGTAGACAGAGAAGTTGAGATGGCTAATACAAAAGCCAACAGTCTTTCAGAAGTGAACATAGCATAGAACTGTAGCAGGAGCATCAAGGGACCTCACAGTTAGCAAAAAGAACCAAGAGAACCTAAGTAGTACCTCCAGTACTTTCCTAGTCATAGTTTAATAAGCTCCCATTTAAAAATAAAGTACAAATAAATTCTATTCATCATTAACACTTTAGTATTTGAATCAGGTGATGAGACCATATTCTTTCAGGCAAGATTATAAAACCAAATGGAAGGCGAGATTTCCCTGGAGGTAGATAGAGAAGGAGGAGACAGATTCTTTTGGGCACAGGAAGGAAAGGCAGGACTGGTTGTGATATCTGAGGCCCAAAGCAGCCTCAGACATAGAGATCAAAATACCAGATTTACACACATGGTGGCACATGGCCATGGGGGACTGAAGGGAAAGGATTTACCAAGAGAGGTGAGAACATGGCGTTTTGGCCACTTTGCAAATTAACTGGGGTGCCCCATGGCAGCAATTGCCTAATGATTGCCTGGAAAATCTTTATGTGTGTGTGTTTTTTGTTTTTGTTTTGACTGCCTATGTGCAGTTCAGCATTTCGACTTCCTGCTCCATTTACAGAAGAATCCCAAAGTTCATCTTGTGACATTTGGTCCTTTATTAAGAGGAAGCAATAGGAGGTCATTGTCAGAGGGTAACATCCTGTACTTTTCCTATTTCCATAAAAGGGAGGGGATTTTGCTGCTTCTCAAGAGTATGAAAGAATCACTTCCAACTTCTCTTTATAACCTTCATTTACTGTTCCTCAAGTCACAAGGAATGACTCATCTGAGTGGTGAATTGAGAACTTGAGCATGCCTGGCTGGGCCTTCTGCATGCTCTCACCACACACCAGCCTGTCGGTAATTCATAACTTTATGGTGCTGACAGGCTCTGCCCATGCCAGGAGAGATCTTTTTTCACTAACTTCACCAGTGACTAGGTGGGGATGATCAGATCACAGAGGATACGTGAAGAAGCCCACTTGGACATAGACCCACGCGATATTCTCCAGTTCATCTTTATCAAAAGTAAATTTGGTATTTTGATCTCTATGTCTGGCTCCTATGTCCTGGTTGTAATCTTAGGAAGGAAAGGTAAGTTTTTTTTCTTTTTTTGAGATGGAGTTTCGCTCTTGTTACCCAGGCTGAAGTGCAATGGCACGATCTCGGCTCACTGCAACCTCTGCCTCCTGGGTTCAGGCAATTCTCCTGCCTCAGCCTCCTGAGTAGCTGGGATTACAGGCACACGCCACCATGCCCAGCTAATTTTTTGTGTTTTTAGTAGAGACGGGGTTTCACCATGTTGACCAGGATGGTCTCGATCTCTTGACCTCATGATCCACCCACTATGGCCTCCCAAAGTGCTGGGATTACAGGCTTGAGCCACCGCGCCCAGCGCAGGAAAGGTAAGTTTTTGTTGATCTCCTACCAACCCTATGTTGGTAGTTCAAGGGAAAATATGCTGGTAGGAGGGAGTTAAAAGTGTGAGAGGAAACAAAATGAAAAAAAAAATGTGGTCAGTTTAACAGCACTGAGGCGTCCTCAAGGCAGAAATTCAGGCTGTAAGAACTGGGCTTTGGCTCTGTTCCTGCTGGAGTGGAGCCTACAGGGCTCATGAAGAATGGATCCCATTTGGGACACGATGTCAGACTGCAGACAGACCCTCCCCATCCCTGATGAAGAGACCTCTTTCACTCTCTTCACCGCCAGCTCCAGATGGGACTTAATCGGGTGTTTTACCTGGACAAGGTGCTTTTTTGTCCCTTAAGAAGAAAACAGACTGGTGTTACCTATGTGTTCAATTTTCATTGCAGCTTTGATTTCTCTTGTGTCCCAACACTTGTGATAGAAAAGATGGAGACTGTCTTAGTCCATTTTGTGTTGCTACAAAGGAATACTCAAGGCTAAGTAATTTAAAAAGAAAAAGGTTTATTTGACTCATGATTCTGGTGGACAGAAAATTCAGGATTGAGTGAGGGCTGCTGGCTGTTTCCATTCACAGCAGAAGGTGAAGGGGAGCCAGTGTATGCACAGATCACATGGCGAGAAAGGAGTGGTGGTGGAGAGAGTATGTGTAAGGAGGTGCTAGGCTCTTTAACAACCAGCTCTGTTGGAACTAATACAGTGAGAACTCACTCCTTAACATCCACCAGGGAGGGCATTAATCTATTCATGAGGAATCTGCCCCCATGAACCAAACACGTTTCACCTTCCAGAATACCACACTGAGAACTAAATTTTGACAACAGATTTGGTGGGGACAAACAAACCATATCCAGACCATAGCAGAGACTATAACTCAGTATTTCCCAAAGTGTGGTATGCATGCTAAGGTATACATAACTATACACAGAGCTCACACCTTAATTATCTTAATAGTTATGAATTCATTTAAGTGTGTAGAAGAAACTGTATAACTTGTTAATGACAAATGACACTGGTTTTCCATATATGGCAGCAGTGTGAAGTTTTACATTTAATTGAAAAAATAATTCTAGAGAAAATAATAGTATTCCACATGGTATTTGAATATGGTAGAAATTGTGCAGATTGTCTGTGAATGATGGAAGTCAAGGATAGCTAAAAGTAATGTGGTAGGAGTTACAAGATACACCTGAGGTCAGGAGTTCAACACCAGTTTGGCCAACATGGTGAACTCCGTCTCTACTAAAAATACAAAGATTAGCCTGGCGTGGTGGTACGCATCTGTAATCCCAGCTATTTGAAAGGCTAAGGCAGGAGAATCGCTTGAACCTCGGAGGCGGAGGTTGTAGTGAGATTTGGTGGGGACAAACAAACCATATCCAGACCATAGCAGAGACTATAACTCAGTATTTCCCAAAGTGTGGTATGCATGCTAAGGTATACATAACTGCACTCCATCCTGGGTGACAGAGAAGGACTCTATCTCAAAAAAAATAAAATAACAAGATACTCAAAATATTCATTGCTTTTTAGGGGCTATTCATAGCGATGTTGGTTCTTTCTAACATTGCTATTGATGAATTCTAAGATTTGTAAATTAATACTACAAATCTTTTAGAGGTTAATTATAATCACATAAAGTTCACCACCAATTCAGTCTTTTTTTTGGCTTCCAAAATGACAGCTGTGAAATGTACTGATCCCTGCAACTTACTTTGAAATGCACAAAAAAGTATGAAAATAATGGATAGATATGTAAGCAAATATAACAAAAAATTTATCAACTATGGAATCTGGATGCTAGATATATGGGTATTCACCATAAAATTTTCAACTTTCCTGTATAGTTGAAAAGTGTTCATAAAGGTTAAGGGAAAAGATGCTGATATGGCTTCTTTTATGTATATTTCTCCTTGGTTTTATAGGTGAGTTTGTTACAGAGTACAGATCAAATGTAGATTTATAACCTTGGACAGATGGCACTTTATGCTCTGACATTTCTTATCCGCCATCTTAGACAAATAGTTTTCACTAACCTAGGGAAACAAACTTGCTCTTAGGTTAAGAGTGGGTTTTACAATGGCCACAGAGGGAAAAAAAGGCAAGAACATATGCAAACAGGCTGGCAACCTGCATCTCGTTTCCTGAACAGAGGTCAAGAACATGGAGTCACTGTTCAGTATCTGCAGCTGCGAAAAAAATGTGAGTTGCAGGCATGCTGTTTCATAACTTTCACACATACACAAAAGTCTTGAGTGTGAGGGGCTTTCCTGTTTCTTCATTTAATATATATTGCACTTTATTAAAGTTGAAATTTTAAACTGTCTTCGGAAAATTATTTTGAAGAGTAGAATTTCCAAAGATATGGAATACAGAGGGCAACACCAAGTTTCTACTACATATACACCTCCATTAAGCAGAAAAGCAAAATTAATCCAAATAACTTAAAAGCATGGCAAGTGGCCTTATTAAACAAATAAGAATGAAGTTTACCCAACCCAAGGGCAATGTTTATGCATTTTCTCACATGCTTAAAACAAACACTTGACATTGAGGAAAATGAAAACCTTAAATGTAGTGCCTGCCCCTCAAAGTGGTTTCTCTGCTATTTTTTCTAATAAGGAAGAGTTCTACTTATAGGGTTCATTCAAGTTTATGAGAATATTTTATTTTAACAAAATGAAAAATAGTTTTTTCCAGTTCTAGAGAAAGTGCATCTGAAAGTAAATTAAGTCAAAGAGGATATATTTTGCTTTTTATGAATTCTATAAAGAAATGATGCATTTTAAGATCTTTCTTAAAGATATTCCTTTATTATAGTGAGATGTGCATTTACATTTACATATCATTTAAATAATTGTTTAGACCCTATTCTGCAGCAAAAAAATGCTACAAAAAATTACCCCAAATTTACCCACCCACTGATTTGTAACGTCACTAATTTTCCCAAGACCACTTTAACTCTAAAAAAAGTCATCTTTAAAAAAGAGGTAACATTACTCTCTTAACCGGAAATAATTTATTACTCAGGAGTGAATATTTTTTAAATTATGTAGACATTACAATTATAGTACTTAGTGTTTTCCTGTGAAAAAGACAACCATTCTCCAAGTGTCCCATTACAGTCATTCACTGATCCACAATTAGTTGAACAGCTTCTATGTTATAGTCCCTAGGCATATGGCAACAAACTAGATACACAAAGTTCTTGCTACCATGGAGGTTACATTCTAGAGGAATGGACATAGATAATACACGAATAAACAAATAATTTCAGATAATGATATAGCCTTGATGAAAATAAGCTCAGGTGATATGACAAAAAGTGACAACGGATGTGGGTATAGTTTTTAAAACATTTTTCTTAATAAATTTTGTTTCAATGTAAACATTTACCAAAGTGATAAATATCTAGTTTAGTCATATAGTACCATAAGTATTTATTAATGGCATTTGTTACAAGAAACAGAAATCTCCATCTGCTTCTTCCCCTTATTCTCAGAGCAGGCTGTTCAGAAGCAGACTCTCTAAAGTGACATTTGAGCAGAGAAGCGAATGACAAAAAGAAACTGCCTAAGATCTGGATAAAGAGCTTTACACACAGGGGAAATGATAAAAGCAGGGAACCTCAGATAGGAATGAGGGTCCCCAGTGTTGCTGGAGCTGGGGAGCAAGGGAGAAGGCCTAGGAAATGATGTGGTTTATCTTTTTAACATTATCTTCTATGAACAGACTGGATCATGGCTGTGGAGAGGGGAGAGGGAGAGTGATAGCAGAGAGGAAATAGGAGACTGAGTGATAATGATGGCTTGGACTCGGGTGTTAGCAGTGACAAATTCCAGGCAGTTTCGGACACACAGCACTCAGACCTGTTGATGGCTGGGACATACTGTGGGGATGGGGTAAGAAAAACTCCAATTTTGGAGCAACGGTCTTCCGATGAAGATTAGGAAAAGTGTTGTGTATATTTTTCACTGTTTTGCCTGCTCGGCATCCAAATCTCCTTCTTGTAGCCATAGAATCCATTACGTAAGTTCTAGGAAAGGATGCACACTAATTCCTCTCTGCCTCCTGGAAGCTGGAGGACCATCTCATGCTTCTGTCCAGGACTGAGAATCAGGAATAATGCAGAGTGAGGATTTTTTTCCAACTAACTCCAGTGGAGTTCATGGAGCAGCTTAGTGACAGGGACAGCAACAGCAGCATCCTAACCAGGGACGGCCTTGATTGCTGCCATTCTGACCACCTAGCCACTCTTAAGTTCTGTTTATTTTCCAAGTCTATTTCTCCAGCCTATCCATAAAAGAAAAAAAATTAAAATGGAGGAATGACATATAAAGGGCATAAATCTTAAGTGTGCAACTTGATATGTAAACACCTATGAAACCACTACCTTGACCAAAATGTAAAAGACTTTCAGCACCTTAAGTCTTCCCTCTGATACACTATTTCCTCAATAAATTCAATTTCTGCCTGAGTTAGCAAGTCCATTTCTGGTGGAGGCAGAATGCAATCAAGAAATCTGACTTGTGGTACTTCAGTGTTTATCAAGTATGACCCTTATTGAATTCAGAATGAAAATAGGTCAGGAAAAAGAGAAAAAATGCATTTCTTTTTGTAGCAAAGTCCTCAGGTGAGTAAACTTCAAATTAAGACTTGTTATTATTAATCATAATACAACTTTATCAGACCAAAGTACCTAAAACTTTATGTATTTATTTTATAAAATCCTGACCATCAAAGTCAGTCTGTGGTCTGGAAACTAAATTCTTTTCAGGGACCACACCAGTATTCAACCCTGTTTCTTTAGGATCTCTAACATATAAAGCTACATAATCAGGAATTTTCCAGGAAATTATTATGTGGGACTTTACATATATATATATGAAGTCTTCTGGCTTTTTTATTCTAGCAGTGACTCTATGAGCACCATCACCAAGTACAGAAACATTAGTACTAATAGTTAACAGGACATTATAAGACATTTTAATAACTACTATATTAACACTACCAACTTCCAATAGAAGGAACTCACTGAAAAAACATGGAGTCATTTCAGTCTCATTTGATGGAACTCCATCCTTCAGCAGCTCAGGCCTTACTCCTTTCATAGTCCACTGGCAGATTCTTTTAGCACCTGCTTCAAAATATATCCAGAATCCAGCCACATCTCACCATCTCTATTGTTTCTATTTTGCTCTGAATTACCATCTTTCTAGCCTGGATTGCTGCAAAACTGGATGCTTGAAAGTAAGAGTGAAATGCCTTCAAAGTTCTAAGGAAAAATTAGTTTGAACCTAGAACTGCACATCCACTAAAAAATAAAGAGTGAGGAAAAAATAAGAGCCTTGTAAGAAACACAAGAACTCCTAGTTTATCTCCCATGCACCCTTTCTGGGGAAGAAAAGGCACTTGTAAATATACTACAGCAAACAAACAGAAAAGACAAATTCAAGAAGGTGTGGGGTTAAAAAAAAAAAAGAAAAGAACATAAGAGTATGAAGAAAATACATCCTGAGATGATAGCTAAAAATCACTTTGTCCAAATTCAATGAAGCTGATTAAGAAGGATAAAATGATCTCAGGGTTAGAATGAAGAACATACTTTTTTTCTTCCTGTCAATTCTGTCAAAGAAAAACAAAAGACAAGAGTATAGTTCTGGAATCCCAGGGTGAGAGCTAAAAGCACTCTGAACAAATCTGGTAATTCGATAGTATGATTAAAAGAAGAGCTACAGTAAAGCAAGCAATTTTCTTCTGTCAAGAAATAAAAGCAGGCTGGATGTAGTGGCTCACACTATAATCCCAGCACTTTGGGAAGCTGAGGTGGGGAGTATCACTTGAGCATGCAAGTTTGAGACCAGTCCTGGGTCCTGGCAACATAACAATACCCCACTTCTATTTGAAGATTTGTTTGAAAAAAAGAAATAGGGCCGGGCGCAGTGGCTCAAGCCTGTAATCCCAGCACTTTGGGAGGCCGACGCGGGTGGGTCACGAGGTCAAGAGATCGAGACCATTCCGGTCAACATGGTGAAACCCCGTCTCTACTGAAAATACAAAAAATTAGCTGGGCATGGTGGCGTGTGCCTGTAATCCCACCTACTCGGGAGGCTGAGGCAGGAGAATTGCCTGAACCCAGGAGGCGGAGGTTGCGGTGAGCCGAGACTGCGCCATTGCACTCCAGCCTGGGTAACAAGAGTGAAACTCCTTCTCAAAAAAAGAAATAAAAGCAATTAAAATCTGCAAAGGCCATGACCAATTACGTAGCAGATGACACATGGCATGATTTGGGGAAGTTGATGGCTGGCTATAAAAGAATCCGTTTGGCCTTTATGCTTGGAACATTCTGCATAAATCTGCACAGACTTAAGGATATGCGATAGATACATAGGCCGAGTGCAGTGGCTAATTCCTGTAATCCCAGCACTTTAGGAGGCCAAGGCTAGTGGATCATGAGGTCAGGAGTTTGAGACCAGCCTAGCCAATATATGGTGAAACCCTGTCTCTACTAAAAATACAAAAATTAGCTGGGCATGGTGGTGTGTGCCTGTAGTCCCAGCTGCTCAGGAGGCCGAGGCAGGAAAATCACTTGAACCCAGGAGGCGGAAGTTGCAGTGAGCTGAGATCATGCCAGGGCAATAGAGCAGGACTCCATCTCAAAAAAAATAAATAAATAAATAAAGGAGCTAAATCACCTGGTTTAACTGTGCATACTTTTGCATAGTGTGACTGCTAGTTACTGATTTACAGTTTTTAGACTATACAGTATAAATATACAGTTTACAAATGTACAGTATAAAGGGAAAATTATACATCTATTAAAACTGATTATATAAACTAATAGTATAACAGAATTTAGGAGGTAAAGGCCAGTAATGAGTTGGAAGGGAAGTACAAGATTGGTCATTTCCTCAGTGTTAGGGAAATATATTTAAAATCAATGGATCAAAAATTGTAACTTTAAACAAATGAAGAACTAAAACATAATCAAAAATGGTGAGAAGGAATGAAGTGAGATAAATTGCTTATCATTTCTAACACAAAACAACAAATTTGGCTTAAATGGTAAGAAATAACAGCAAGAAATGTGCTATTACCTCTAAGATGTGAAATTGGTGTGGATGGCAGGCAGAAACACTTGTACTTTTATTTTCTATCCATGTGAACTGTTTAGAATTTTTATTCAGGTACATGCTCTAAAATTAAAATTGTTTTTAATCCTAAAAAACATTAGAGGCTGGGCACAGTGACTCATGCCTGTAATCCTACCACTTTGGGAGGCTGAGGTGGGTGGATTGCTTGAGCCCAGGAATTTGAGACCAGCCTGGGCAATATAGTGAAACCCTGTCTATATTTAAAAAAAAAAAAAAAAAAAAAACAAGGAAAGAAAAATTAAAGCTGACAGGCTCTGAAAGGCACAACAGTTGATATTACAGAAGGATCCCAGGAAATTATAAAAAGCAGGAATAAAAAAATATCAAAAAATATCTGAAGTAAAAAGTCATTTAAAGGCATCTAAGCTCATGCCAACACTTCTGGTAAAGCAAAGTCAATAAAAGCAGTTTATAGCTATAACTCAGTGATTAGACAACAAAAAATGATTTAGAATTCTCTAAGATGGCAGAGATTAACTATAAAACTATTCTCATCCAAAATAATATGGTAATATAGTAATACAGGCATGGCCCATAAAGTATTTCAGATCCTCGAAAATTCAATTTCAGACAAATAAATGTTATTACATATATTGATGGATAATACATGAGGGTCCAAAACCTTAACATCTTTAAAAAGAATATTAAAGTAAGTGATCTTTAAAATCATTATAATTAATAGAATAAAATGAAGGTTATAATATTTTAATAAAATTTTTACATTTCTTGAACAGTTTATTCAATTCATACATGATATAGCAACAAAAGGAAGGAATCTTAAACAGCTTTCCTATAAAACATTCAGAAGTACTTTCCTTTGACTGTTTACTCATATGTTCTCTTGGTATTCTTCTGAATTGTTACACAAGGTTTTAAAAAATGAAAATTTCATATAAAAATAGTTATCTAACAATGAATTTTCAAATTAAATAATAAATCTGTTCACCTATGTATATTGCATAGCAATAGTTTAAGTACTTTAATATTTAGAAGAACATCAGGAAGTCAGTTTTTCAATGGCTGCCATATCTTAAAAGTTGGTAACTTAAAATCTATTTATAATTCTGTAGATATAAAAGTTAAAAAAATTCATTTTGATTTAATACAAAAGCCTTCTACATTTACATTTTCAAACATTACTGTGATTGCTATAACATCATATATATACTTAGCCAAAATAAGTTAATTTTTAAAAATCAATAATGTGTAGTACGCTGGCAAGACAATTTATTTAGAAACAAATGGGGATAATTATAAAGTCAATGTTATAAATGTACTACTACAAATAAATAAGTAAAACAAAGCAGAATATAAAAATGCATAGAACAGGTGGAGAAATCACCAGTGCAGAAATCTGGGCACTTAATCCCTTAAGGAGTTAGAGGATTTCAAATTTAAAAGATGACTTTTCACAGGGGACATTGTGACTTTCTGTGAATAAAGAAAAGAATGTCTATTAATTCTACTCAGATGCTTCTATTTTTGTTCAAGTGTTTTTATGTAATTCCTCCTTTAATTTAAATGTTCTTTCCCTAAAAAAATTTTTTAAGATAATAATTTTGGTCTCATGACATATATACTTTAAAAATACATGTGATTCTACAGTAACCCCTCCCCCCTCCTAATATCTATACATATATGCATTTATATAAATATATACATAATTTCAGGATTATAAAAATATTTAATTTTTATGAGCTTAAATAATTACTGAATGTTAATACAGAATACATTAGTATTTGTATAATTTCACTTTTATTTATAAAAAGATTTTCTTATAGCAGCATTTGCATTACAAATAAAATGTGATCAAAGGATGTCTCAGTGTACCAGGACCCATACTGCAAATCAGACTGAGCAACTGTGATGTTCCTTTAAAAGAACATTTGGAGGCTGGGCATGGTGGCTCACACCTGTAATCCCAACACTCTGGGAGGCCGAGGTGGGCTGATCACCTGAGGTCGGGAGTTCTAGACCAGCCTGGCAAACATAGTGAAACTCCATCTCTACTAAAAATACAATAATTAGCTGGGCATGGTGGTGGGTGCCTGTAATGACAACTACTTGGGAGGCTGTGACAGGAGAATCATTTGAACTGAGGAGGCAGAGGATGCAGTGAGCTGAGATTGCACCAGTACACTCCAGCCTGGGCGACAGAGTGAGTGAGACTCCATCTCAAAAAAAACAACAACAACAAAATAGAACATCTGCCTCAGCTACAGAAGGGCAGTTCCCAGAAAGCACAAAAACCTTGAGGGGCTAATAACTTATCTGAACCTTCTAAGTGCATTTGAAAGTTATCTCCATAGAGTTGGCAAGACTTAGTAAAATATCCCAAGAAGTCCAAGTTTTATTGATTCCCCAGAAGTTTTCTAATGAGATAAGTAAAAATTACATTAATGGTGCTTTGAATTGAATTATATAAACTTATTAGAAATTAAAGATTTCAGGAGTAAAAAAATGAAAACATTGCTCTGGGTGGTATGGTATAAAAAAAGAAAGCAAGAAAGACAGATTTGCAACTAAGACATTACAAAAAAAAAAATACCCTCAGTCTCAAAAACTCATATTAAGTTTGTTTTTGTTGAGCTCACGTTCCAGATTTCCAATCAAAGTATCAATACTTTCCTGTAGATCTTTGAGATTGTCTTTTCGATTCACTGTAGACTCAATTGTCTGCATTGTCAAATATGTCTGACATGTACACTCTTTGGACATGGGAACTGGCTGTTCAATCATTACTTCTGGCCCATCCATTTTGCTATAATTTTCTCCATTTTCTCTATCTTCTGAAGGGACATCATTATAATCCGCATCATTTAAATTTTCTTTTGTATTTAAAAAGTAGTTTTCTCCACAGCTGCTCCAGTCTCCTGCATAACGATTGCTAAGTGGACTGTCTAATCGGTTTTGCCTTGGCCTAAGTACTCCTGATGAATCAGTACCACTCAAATTTAACATGTGAGGTCGTTCTTTCTTCTGCCTCAAATAATTCAGAGAAGACTTCTGCTCTGGGAATAAACTGTCTGTTGATTTTTTGACATTTAAACGCTGCACTAGAAACAAACAATAATTTTGCTTCAGTGATCGTTATTCAACTGAATTTTAAAAAAAAGAGCTAAAGATAAGCCATTTAATCGTCAACTACAAACATGCATTAAAACAAAAACATGCACTCTATGAAAAGAAAGCATTCCATAATTATTTTGTATTACCAGACATAAACGAGATCAAGGACAGAAGCAGTAGAACGTTCCATGGTGCTAATTCATGCTACATCATAACGTTCCCAAACAAATCACATTAGCAATGTCAATTAATTTTCTGTGCAAGTTTATTATTATCTAGCTATAATTCAAACAACAGCTAAGCTGGTAGCTTCTCCTA